TTCTTGTTCAGAGAGATCAGAGATCAATTCCAACTATTGTTGTCATACTGGGCCCTCCTCTATCTTTACTACCCTTTATACCACACACACTCGTGGTAATTTCCAACCAATGACCAGTCCTCCTGGCCTGTTTCCCCTGGCCTTGGATGTTAAACTCATACTTAAAAAATATATATATACCACAAATGAATGCAGTCATTCTATATCAGTCCCTTTCCTTTGACTCACTTCACTTAGCATGATACTTTTGATGTCCATCCATTTATGGAAATGACATTTCATGACATCATTTTTCTAACAGCTGTGTTGTATTCTATTGTTTAGATGTGCCATAGTTTCTTTTTCTAGTCATCTGTTCTTGGGAACTCGGGTTGTTTCCAGATTCTGGCTACTGTGACCAGTGCTGCAATGAACATAGAAGTGCAAATGGTCTTTCTGCTGTGTGCTTTTGGACCCACAGGGTATATTCCCAGAATATTTTTGGTGAAATGATAGAAATTTACAAGAAAAAAATCCAACACCATCAAAAAATGGGGAGAAGAAATGAACAAAAACTTCCTCAAAGAAATTTGAATGGCTAAAAGACACATGAAAAAATGCTCTACATCAGGGAGATGTGTAGGATAATGTTGGTTTGCCCTTCCTCCCTGGCCACTAGGAGCTTGTGTTTGTTGATTGTCCCCCAACCTGTCAATTATCTTTGTCTCCTGATGAGACTCTGACTTATAAATATTGTCTTTCTCTTCTCCTTACTGTCCTTTTGCACAGTTAGTTATTTCAGAGCAATTGCTTTTTGTATGATACAGGAAGACAGTTCAAAAGACAAGCCTGTGGCTTGGGACTTGATTGACTCCAAATAATATACCTCCTGGACATCTGCCCTCTCGACTTAAGCCTCAGTCGCCCTTACTTCCTGGTTCCCTAAAAGCAGGGTCCTAATGAGGTACTGGATGGACCCAGGGCAAGCTCACCCAGGGTGAGCTATGAGTTACCCTGGCATCGAAATGGGCCTGGCCAAAATGTCTTAATGCTTAACTGTAAGTTAAGAGCACAGTCATGGACAAATTCTGTCATGATCAAAAGTAATAACTATATTTGGACCCTGGTGGGGTTAGGAATGATTGATCCGGCCTGAGCACTGCAGTCTGAGTCTATGGTGAGATGTCCCCAGGAGAGTTACTCTACAAGCCTAAAAGTTCTATTACTGTGTCGATACAGAATGGTAAATATTAGGAAGAAAAATTAAAGATGCTAATTAAGTTGCAGGTCTAAGGAGAGGAGAAAAACACCTTAGGGGCTGTTTTGCCCTCATAGGCTGCAGGTGATCGGGAACTCTGGAAAAGCATTTTTGATCATGCTTCCCATGGGCAGGCATGGTTGGGGAGGCATGTGAGAGGATATAAGAAAGTGGTTGGGGGGAGAAAGTGTGGAATGTTTGGAGAGGGGGATTGATGGTTGGATTGTTGGTTGGATTGTTAGATGGTTGTATTGATTGAAGAAGAGAGAGTTAGAGGAGACAGATACAGCAGAAAGAAAAAATTGCGCAGTTAGAGATAGAGACAGAGATAGAGAGAGAGAGAGAGTGAGAGAGAGAGAGTATTGGACAGAGCTGGGAGAGATGAGAGATTGAATAAACGGCAACTCATCAGCAGCCAGCTTGGCCTTCATTCTTCCTTGTCTGTCCAAGGCAACAGCCTTCCCAGGTGGCGAAGTGGCAGGAGAGCACCAAACGCAGGCGGCGAGAGAGAGCTACCTGGAGAGCCCGCGGACATCCCTTCATGTGTAATCCCCGCGTGAGAGAGGGGCTGACACAGCCCTGTGGTTGGGGATTTTCACAGCTCCTTGAGAGCATGTGGGGAATTTCCACAGCGCGAGCGTGTGGGAATTTTACAGAAATGCAAATAAAAACAACAATGAGAGATCATCTCACACCACACAGAGACACCGACTGGCAGTCATCCAAATGAACAAGGACAACCTAGTGCTGGCATGGATGTGGGAGAAAGGGACTCTCCTTCACTGTGTCCCGCCTTTTTGGTAAATAATATGGACAGTCCTCAAAAAACAAAACAAAACAAAACTAGAATTTGAACCTCTCACCTAGTTTTAATGGTTCTCAAAGGCTTTTCGTCACAGTGACCTCTCCTGCCCCTCACCTGAAGCACGTTGCAAAGCAGTTTTCCTTTCACAACTGCAGCAGAACTCTGTGGGTTCCCAGGATTATGGAGCACTTCTTGAGGGTGAGTTTCTGGAGGAAAACGGGTCTCTATCTGGGACAAAGATGACATTCTGGCTTGTGACTTTTCCTTCTGAAATCTTTCCTAAGTTCTGCAAGGCTGATCGCAGGCAACACTCTTCTGTGTTAAGCTCACAGCTTCACTCTTGGTGGTCCAATCTAAATTTTCAGAATAGTCATCAGCTTTCATTATCAGTCATCCCTTACCCATCCATCCTGATGTGATTCAAAGACATGAACCAAAGGAGCTTCCTGAGCTGTCCTACATTCTGAGTCAACACACTGGTCCCTTGCATTGGATAGGGAAGACCTGAAATAAATCAAGACCAATGAGAGGAGAATTAGCAAAAATTTTTATTAAGCTTGCCAAAGCAAGGGGACTGGCCACTGCCAACTGTGTTTTGGCAGAGACGAAAAGGCAGGCTGAAAAATAGGAATGTTGGAAGTGGATGGGTGCCCAGATTGGGGGCTTTTGGCCTAGAAATGCTGGGAAAGGGACGGCTAACTAGAGGTGGGTGCTTCATGTAGTAAGTTAAGGGTGTATATATGGCTTTCTCAGGTTGACCCTAAATTGAAAGAAAGAATAAAAGACCAGGTAATTTCTGTGTTATTAATTAGTCTCTAGACAGTTGGGGCTGATTGTCACAGTAGTTTTATCTGCCCCTTTCCTATATTTCTAATCTTTTTTTTTTTGCTTTTTTTTTGGGGTCATACCTGGCGATGCACAGGGGTTACTCCTGGCTCTGCACTCAGGAGTTACTCCTGGCGGTGCTCAGGGGACCATATGGAATGCTGGGAATCGAACCCGGGTGGGCCACGTGCAAGGCAAACGCACTACCCGTTGAGCGATCTCTCCAGCCCCGATTTCTAATCTTTGAAGGGAGGAAAAACAGTATTAATATTGGTCCTAAGAACATAAATTAAGAATCAAAAAATACTTCTGTTGAAACACTCAGGTAGGCAAGTTATGTGACTGGAATCTCCAGGCAACCTTCCTCCATCCCCCTCTTCTTCAGGGAACCTGGCAGTCATGCCCAGGAACTGCTTCTGGCCCCATATAAGCTCACTGATGGCCATGATCCAGAGATTCACAAATAAATCTCAGAAGAGATCAACAGGTTGCAGAGATGCCTCTGGACCCCAAAGTCACCATCCAGTCAAAAATTTAACTCCTGCTGTATCACCCTATTTAAAATTTTAGAATTCCTGCGACACCTCATACTCCATATCACTAATGTATGTAGCACACTATATTGGATGGGAGTATATAAAGTAGAAGGCAACCGATCTCAATTAAAAAAAATATTAGTACACAAGGCTCAATCTGTAACAGCATATTAGTATTCTTATACAAGAGCTTAGTGGAACCAGGGTGAGATACAACAATTGTCACACACTTTCTTCTAAGGAAACTTTTACTGATCACTTTCAGCAGAATATTTATGACCGTAGCACTGTAGCACTGTCCTCCCATTGTTCATCAATTTGCTCAAGCGGGCCCAGTAACGTCTCCATTGTGAGACTTCTTGTTACTGTGTTTGGCATATTGAATACGTCACAGGTAGTTTGCCAGGCTTTGGCGTGAGGGCGAGATACTCTCGGTAGCTTTCCCGGTTCTCTGAGAGGGGCGGAGGAATTGAACCTGGCTTGGCCAGGCCGGCTGCAAGCAAGGCAAACGCCCTACCGCTGTGCTATCGTTCCAGCACATAATTATGACAAGAAATACAAAATAAATTATTTAGGGCCTGCTATTGGGGTAGGCTTCTAAAAATTTGAAATAGTGGTGGTGGGACTGGTGTTGGAATACTGAATGTTATAAGTTATTGTGAACAACTTTATAAAAATAAAATAAAATTAAAAAAACTAGAAAAACACTTCTTCCTGTTATTGTTCTAGCTATGGATCATACTTGATTTAAAGCTTTATTGTCTAGTGATTTAAACTAATTTTAAAATTTAAAAATTTAAAAAAACTTAAAAAAAATTTTAAAGGCTGCATTAAAATCTGGATTATGTGGTATCCAGGAGAAAAGGAAAAGTTAATTTTATAAATTAATTACCTTTTATTTTCTTCTACACAATTTCATCTTTCTGCCCTTAGTATTAAACCATAAGTAAGTAAAGTAAAGGCCCTCCCGTTGATCGTCGATTTGCTCGAGCGGGCCCAGTAACGTCTCCATTGGAGACTTTGTTGTTACTGTGTCTGGCATATCGAATACTCTCGGTAGCTTGCCGGGCTCTCTGAGAGGGGCGGAGGAATCGAACTCGGGTCGGCCATGTTGGCTGCGTGCAAGGCAGACGCCCTACCCGCTGTCCAAATAGCTTTTCTGAGGTCTTTCAGACTTGTCACTCTGAGTTAGATTCATACACCCACACATAGAAGCCGTCGAGACAGAAATTCAGCAAAGAACTTCTTCCTCCTCTTTCTTCTCCTCCTCCTCATGCAGCCTATCTCTGTACTCTGGAGTGGCTGGCGTGGCAAGCAGGGATGCCCTTAAGCCAGCACCGACCTGGTCCCCAGGCCTGAGGTTTTGTGCTGGCTTCGTGCCCAAAGCAGTATGCAGCCTTGGCTGGGTCCCCATCCTCCCACACCCCCATTTCTTCACCAGAAACCCATGGTCCAAAGGTTAGAGTGTAAGAAATTATAATTTTCAATATAATTTAAAAGTGCACGTTTATCTGAGACATGACTACTCAATTGAAGATTGAAATATTTACTTTCTTAAAAACATGAAGTCAATTACATGCAGCACAAACAACAGGAGTGTTTCAAAAAAGGAATTTATTAAAATGCTCATAATTATAAAATAATATTAAAATGCACAGAAGTTCACAAAACAAGTATGATCTTTACATCTTTACTGACACACGATATGAAAAGCATCATGAATACTTCAATTCTAACTTACTTAAGTTGTTCATCCATTTCAACTTTTTGAATATCATAAAGTATAGCATGAACACAAGAAAATGGTCCAAGAATTATTAACAACAGAACACATTCTACTTCCCTATTGTGAAATAAATGTTTTCTGAAATTCAAGATGTACAACAATGAAAAGGGAAGAATTTGGTGACAGTTTACAAGATGGACGTAATTTAAAAAAAATCATAACTTTCTCTTTCTAATGGTATCTAAAATAACTGAGGGATATATTAAGAAAAATCCCCTGAGTATTTTGGTCTACTGTTTCAGTTCATTAAAATCCACAGGCATTACAAAAGGATAGAAAACTAACATTTCTCTAGTGGCGAACATAGGTCTGGGGCCAGATTTTCGCTCTAAGGGTCTACCCATCCATTTTCCAGGGATGCTGCCTCTGCTCACATTTACAGCACACAATTGCCTGCAGAAACATTTTTCTTCATCACCAACAAGCCAGCACTTGCATTACACTAACACTGCTGGTGTCACGGGTGACGCTGGGTCCCCCTGCAGTCCAGCTGTCTGGAGGACATTGGCAGTGCCCATACATCACATGCGCTACCTTAAGACACACAGAGGCTTTTTCCCCCGGTTGTCACAGAAACACATTTTAAACCATGAAAGAGTACTCATAAAGACCTAACTTGGTGATTCTTTTGAAGTCCTATCTTATATACAAAGAGATAAGGCAAAAGCATTCCTTTTTAAAATGCTTCCACTAACGATGAAGAATTGCCAAAAGCAACAGTCGGAGATAGTCCACTGCAGAGTAAGAGGTAATCTGAGAAGGCCACACAGTTAGGGAGGAGAATCACAGTGGAGCAGGGTAGGAGGTGGCTCTGCACTTGGGCTGCGTGGAAGGAGCAAGTTTCCACACAGAGAGAGATTTGCTTCTTGTGCCCAGTGCCGTCAGGCCACACACGGCCTGTGATGAGCACTTTTTCATCACATAGTTAACATCATCAAGAAAGTTAGAGAAATGTTGTCCCTGATTCATGGGGAAGATTAAAAGAATCTGGAATACTGCTTGAGTTACTTTTACACAAATACTTTAAAAAAAATAACAAAAACACATTCAAGGCAGGCACATTTACAACTGTGACCTGGAGATAAGCTATTATACATGTCACTAAATCTACTTGCAGGAACAGGTCCCCTCGCCTGCACTGCTGGATTCGGAGTAGCCTGGCTCCAGTGGCACCTGCAAATCTAGCAGCATCCTGGCAGGTCGCACATGCAACAGGGACCCGGACACCCTGCCTGGGTTACACCAAGGCTTGGCTACACCCAGCGCTGCTGCCATGACTAGCCCAGAATGAGCGGTGCGGCTCAGCCTCCCCAGAGCCTGCCAGAGAAATGGCACCGAAAAGGCAGTAAAGGACAAATTTCTAAACCGATTTAACTGAGGGCAAGAACCGCATCATAGGGAGGGAATTCCAGAAGGAAGTAAACACTAATTGACGGAGGGTTTGTGATCAAACCTTTTGCTTCTGCTTAATTATCTGACTGGCCTCAGGAGAGGCTGAAGACACAAGCAAACCTGAAGTCTTGTTTCTGACTTGGGTAGAATCTGGGTCTCCACCTCTCCTGACCTCCAGTGTTTGGTACAAACACGTCCTTATAACAAGTTATCGGGCTGAGAATAAGGGAGCAGAGGGTGCAAGGAGCAGCATCCACTAGGGGAGATGTTTTGGTACGCTGGCCACTGGGGCATGCAGAATCCCACCCAAAGACCTTCCCTCCCTAACGGTGCAGCTGAGTTGGGGCACCTGCCACTCTCTTAACGGTGCGCAGCAGGGTCATGTCACAGCCATTCATAAGAGTTATGATTCGTAATACTGTAACACCTGTACTAATGAAGGCAACTGGTGGAAAAGGCAATTGATAAGCGTTATCTTTTCCATACTATATTGACAAAAATGTAATTTCATCCCTGCCCTCCGCCCCTCCTGCCAGGAAACTACATGTCTTTAGATGAGATAATTATCCCGACCAATATGAGTTAGAATTCTATTTGAATCTACACTTCTCTCTGCTTTTGTCATCTTATTAATTTGAGATTTGCAGAGCAGTCAACAATAATTAGGGACAGAACATTCTAGAAGCTACTGGAAGATAAAAGGTGTCACTACGGATTAGTATAAATATGCTCTAGAAGCTCATTATTTTTTATTCCAATCCTTTAAAGAACATTGATTTGACATGGGAAAGAAAAAAGACTGAGACTATTTTCTTATTAACTGAGATTTTCTTTTTTGTAGGGATGTGACAATACATCTCATAATGGCTATTTCTGTGTCTATTTAATAGCCACTTAACACTATATATAGTGTTGTTTTGGGCCATACCCAGCAGTGCTCAGAAGACCATATGTAGTGCTGGGGATTGAGCCCAGGTCGACTGCACTGCATGGAGGCAATTGCCTTACCTGCTCTACTTAGCGTCAGCCCTCAAACTATATTTAAGTTAGCTACTAACAATCACAAAAGAAAAAAATCAAGGCAGCAGAGGCTTCTAATGATGGTAATGGAAGAAAAGCTTTCAGGAAAATATGGAACACATCTGCAGAAGTGAAGAAATGCAACACTGCCTAAAAGTAAAAATGTGTGTGAGTCGAGAGAAAAATCATCAAAAGGAGGAAGCAAGGAATCTGTTCTGCTCTAGGAGAGGTGATTTCTAAGCACATGAAGAGACTTTTTCTGTGTTACTGAAATTCCTATTTGTCAAAAAGGTACAATTGAATGTTTTGTAGTTGATTAGTTTTATGCCCTTCATGATCTAAGTTTTACATTTTCCAGTTCCTACAACACCAGCTGAAACTGAAAAATAATCTCCATGAAAATGGCAATAGCTGAAACTCAAATTTCCTAACGTGATTCAGCTTAAACATTCTCATTGTGATCCATAATATATTTTGACAGAGCAAAATTATTTAAAGTGCATCTCAGAACATAAAGCTCTTATTCTGATTTTGGTCGAACATTATTATCTACTATTTCTCCCATCTTCTCAACTATGAGCCCCATATTTTTTGTTATATCTTTGAGGTGATTTTCATGAAGAAACTTTTGTGTTAGGTATTTTTCTCTCTTGATCTTGCTCTTCGTGCTTTTTGATACGTCTGGGATTGCATACGAAATGAAGAATTTCACAGAGTAGATGAGATGCTGAGAGAGAGAGAAAAAGAAAAATGTCAATCAGAGAAATGGAGGGGAACTGAATACCTTTCAGTTATACCTGCTCATTATTATGGTAGGCATCTGATATATATTCTCCATTTTTCTTTGCCAAGATGTGGCTTTTGCCATGCACATCTTGTTAGTCTATAAATATCAAGAATACTTAGGTATGTAGAAAATAATATATTTAATATATTTATAAAAGATAGAACACTCGCATTGACACTGACAATGCTGTAGCATATTTTTCTTGATCTTTCCTAGGTACACTTTTTCCTTCCAAAGTAAACACTATCCTATCTGTTCTATAGTCATGCAGTGTCCAGAGTTATACAGTCACGTGCAGCTGAATGATGGGGTTACCTTCTGACAAATGCATCCCTGGGCAAGGACATCACTGTGTGAACATCACACAGTGCAGTTACAGAAATCTAGGTGGCATAGTCTATCAGAATCCCTGATGGGAACTGAGATAACATATAATCAGTCAATTCTTAACAATCACTGGACACTGCCTCTGCCTTGTTTTCTAACCTCCCTGTTTACTTTGTTTTGGGGTCACACCTGGCTGTGCCTAGGACTTACTCTTGATTCTCTGCTTAAAGATCACTTCCAGCAGAATTGGGGGGACCATATGTGGTGCCAACGGATCAAACCTGGGTTAGCGGGAGGTAAGGCAAACTCCCTACCTGCTGGACTCTCTCTGCCCCTCCCACTGCTTTTAAGATCTAATTTGTCATATACAGTATATTTCTTCTAATGTGCACTACAGATGTATTTATTATCCATTCTGCTCAATATTACTTGGGTTTATTGCTCTTTGAGCTGATTATTTTTATTTATTCTAGAAAAAGTCTAGTCATTGACTTCAAATATTGTTTTTATTATATGACCCACCTTCTATGGTTTTTACTACTTAGTCCTTCTCATCTGTCTTTCATATTTCTTAATCTCTTTATCATATTTTCTAATTTTAATATCTTTGTGAAGTATTAGGGATTTCTGAAACTAATCTTCTAATTCTCTAGTCCTCTTTTCATATTTGTCTAAACTTCTGTTTAACCCATATGCTCACCACCTGCTATTTTAACAATAGTAGCACTGTAGCACTGTTCCCCTGTTCATCGATTTGCTCGAGAGGGCACCAGTAACTTCTCCATTGTGAAACTTGTTACTGTTTTTGGCTATCAAATACGTCATGGGGAGCTTACCAGGCTCTGCTGTGCAGGCGGGATACTCTCAATAACTTGAGAATCCTGCCTCTCCGAGAGGAATGGAGGAACTGAATCCGGGTCGGCTACGTGCAAGGCAAATGCCCTACCTGCTGTGCTATCGCTCCAGTCTATATTTTTATTTTTAAAAGTTCTATTTAATTACTTTTCAAAATTGCTTTTCAGGGCTGGAGCAATAGTACAGCAGGGAGGGCGATTGCCTTGCACACAGCTGGCCTGCATTTGATCCCCAGCATCCCATACGGCCCCCAGTGCATCGCCAGGAGTGATCCCTGAGTGCAGAGCCAGGTGAGGCCCAAGACAAAAAATTTAAAAAAAAACAAAAACTACCTTTCAACTTTTGAGACTTTGACAACAGTGGTTCATCTAGGTTAAGAAATAAAGCTAGCTAGATCAACTGCAAATTTATAGCTTCCTTAGTCAATTTTAATACTGGTTAACTTTAGAGATAAAAATGTTTTAGAAGAGGTACACTACAAAATGTGACATAAACATAACAGCATAATATTTATAGCAGAAATCACTTCTTGTTCATCTTAAATACATCTCCTCACAGTTTTACCAATGCAGCCAGTGACTCAATTTAATAAAAGCACTCATTACTTAGTTGGATGGCTTAGTGAATCCCCCTAGCACAACATGCTTTTAGTTTTCAAAACAGATAACTTAATCAGAATATTACCGGTATTGTCAAGAAAAATCTGATTATCATACATCTTAAAATAATTATTAGCAAGAGAAAAAAGAAAGTGCTGCGCATTTTAAGTCGTCGTTGGTAACACAAAGTTAAGAACAGGTCTGAAAAGATGATAACCTATGTTAATGTAGGGTCTCCTACCTCCATGACGATGATGAAAGCCAGCTTGGCTGCAATCACGTGCCAATAGTAAATGCTGTGTTTGTACTGCTGCGGGTGTCCGGGAGGGTTACGGAAATCACGGTACCTGGAAACAAAGTGAAGGCATAGAAAAAGAGAATGTTTTAAAATAATCTGATTAATTTTTATAGAATCACCATGAGATACACAGTTACAAAGCTGATCAGGTTTCAGCCATACAATGTTCCACCAACCATGCCTTCACCAGCGTACATCTGCCACCACCAATGCACCCAGCATTCCTTCCGCCACCCACCCTCCCAACTTGCCTCTATGGCAGGCTCTTCTCTCTTCCTCCATCTCTCAGTCTCTCTCTTTCTTCCCCCCCTTTCTTTCTCTCTCTCTTCCCCTCCTCTTCTTTCCCTTTCTTTCCCTTTCTCTCTCTTCCCCTCCCCGCCCTTCCTCCCTCCCCCCTCACTCCTTTTGGGCATTATGGTTTGCAATACACATACTGAAAGGCCATCATGTCTGGTCCTTCAATAAATACTATTTTGGGTCAAATTCTACAAATAAGAGCTAATTTAAACATCTGACGCAATGCTCTTTTTTCCTTAACACCCAACAGGAAGACTCCAGGGCTCCAGCCGGCCCTGCCGGAGGCCCTATGGCACTCAGGAAGGAACCAGGGTCTGGGACACACAAGAGATGTGCCCTGATTCCTGAACTACCTCTCCGGCCCCTAATGACATTTCTTTGAGGAATTGTTAGACTCTATTTATAGGTTACAAGACTTTCATTCTGGATTGGTCAATCTGTAATAGTGTAAAACATTCATCTTTATCTTCACTTACTGTTTTTAAATTTCTAGACCTAGTTTAGTATCGAAAGTCCTTTTAAAAATTAAGTGCCCCTCCGTCCTTCACACCCTACCGAGGTCACCAGTTGCCCCTCACGAGCGGCTCTCCAGCACGGCCATGGCTCCAGAAGCACAAGGACTTAATGCAGAACCCAGCAGCTTGGAGCAGAAAAGTGAACGGACTATGTGTTAATCCAGGCCATCATGACTGCCCGGAGGGCAAAGGGTGTTGCCCCATTCGCCCTCTCCTCACTGGAAAGAAGATGGCGGCCACATGGGTGCCTTGTGGAGAGCAGGTGTGAGCCGGGGGTGTGGGGGCGACTAAAACCTCATGGGAAGGGGGGCGTTCCAGTCTGTCCTTCACGCCCTACCGAGGCCGCCAGTTGCCCCCCCCCCCCCCACAAGTGGCTCTCCAGCACGGCCACGACTCCAGAGCACAGAAACCAATCTCTTAATTATCTGACTCTCAGTAGAAATACTTCCAGGGTTAATTAGCAAAATAGCGGAAATCCAAAACCAACATTTAATTCTTGAACCCAGCTGTAGAAAGCGAATTACTTCACAATGCTTTCTCAGCATGTCTGATTTGGGGGGAGGGGGTAAACTCTAAATAATAGTGGTGCATCTTTTATTGAAACAATGAATCTAATCAAAGCAGATAGAGTGTCAACTAGAATTCATCTGCCTCGCAGGCATTGGGAGGGGTGGGGGGTGGGGTTTTATTGGGGTTCTTCGTGGTAAAAAATAAGTATTGGTAAAGGGAAAGGTGTTTGATATTTGCATGACTGAGACCTAAACCTGAAAGCTTTGTAACTTTTCCCACAGTGATTCAATAAATAAATAAATTATTTAAAAAAAAATTAAGTGCCCTTTTGATGGGGGGGGCGGAACTGGCACGCCCTTCCTGCCCTGCCAAGACCACGAGTTGCTCCCCCCGCCACGAGTGGCTCTCTGGCATGGCTATGGACCCAGAGGCACATAAACCAATCTTGGATCTATGCAGCTTTTGGCAGAAATCTCTCCAGACTTAATTAGTAAAATATCAGAAATCCAAAATCAAGCAGCCGTTATCACTATCGTGGCCGCATGACATCATATGGTCTTTATAACCACCAATAGGAAACCAATTATTTCACAATGCCTTTTCAGCAGGTCTGATTGTTGGGGTAAAATTCCAAATAATAATGGTGCATCTTTTGTTGAAATAATGAATGTAATCAAAGTAGAGAGAGAGAGTTAAGTGGAAATCATCTGCCTCACAGGCATGGTGAGGGGTGGTATGGGGGGTATATTGGGGTTCTTGGTGGTGGAAAATATGCACTGATGAAGGGGTGGGAGTTTGACCATTGTATGACCAGAAAGCTTTGTAACTGTTCTCATGGTGATTCAATAAATAAATTGAAAAAAAAAATTAAGTGCCCTTTCAAACAAGTCAGTGGAACTTGCCTACACACGGTGTGGTTACCAAGTTCAGAATCAGAATTTCCCAAGCTTTTGTCTTTGAAGTCGCTGATGTTGAACACGGACAGAGTTCTGTTTATATAGCCTTCCATGGTATAGAATGAAGAGTTCCCGTAAGGAGGGATGGAGAAGGACCAGTAGTATACCAGGCGAGGGATCATGTCTGATGTGAAGGCGATGATCATAGCCTATATGGGAAGAAAACAATAGGGTGATGATTTAGAGTATTATTGACTATGACTATCCGTTACGGCAGAGGAACTCTGTTCACTTTGTTATTTCTGGGACATGCAAAGGGATCGCTTCTGGCAATGCTAGAGAGAATCTTATGTGGTGCTGAGCTTCAAACCAATGCATGTAAGGCAAGCACCTTACCCCCGTACTATTTCTCCAGAACTGAATTTTTAAATTAAACGTTCATAAATGTTGTTTTCTGTCAAATAGACAAGATATAGTGAATGTCCTTAAATTTCTAAGTGGTGACTTTAAAATAGACTATCTTCATTCTTTTCTTCAGTTACACAAGAATATCTAAAATTACCTCTGCAATTCAAAAGCAAAGTAGCCTATTTTGTTTCTTAATTTCAGAAAAACAAGATTTTATAAACCTAAAATAAGGGTATTATTGTTAATTTAAGAGTTGCTAGCATGCATTATATACAAATTAACATCGGCAAAAAGTTGAATAAATTTACTAGATGTAATTTTAAACTGATGATTTAGTTTTAGAAGACCCATCTGTATGTCTAATACTAAGATCAATATTATGAAAATAATTTACTCTTATTTAATTCCTTCTTAAATGATTGATGTCAAGCTGATTTTTTATCAACTTCCCCTTAAAAAATCAAATAAAAGCTTCATAAATTATATTTTCCTGTAGCACTGTAGCACTGTCCTCCCACTGTTCATTAATTTGCTTGAGCGGGGACCAGTAACGTCTCCATTGTGAGACTTGTTGTTACTGTTTTTGGCATATCGAATATGCCATGGGGAGCTTGCCAGGCTCTGCTGTGCAGGTGGGATACTCTTGGTAGCTTGCCGGGCTCTGATCCTCAAATTCACACCTTTTTTTCCTTTAGGTATGTTTAGACATGTTTAGACAAGACAATCCATAGCTTGATTTACTTTACTAGCAGATGCTGAAGCTTCATTAGTTAGCAAGAATATTTTAATTAATTTTAATAAAATGTATATAACATGAAACTTATTGGAGTGGGTTCATACACTAGAAATGACTTCCATTTTGTTAGATTTAGTGTCTAATCCTCTAAACTTCCAAAAGATTAGATGGTTAGTTATGGACATTATAAATTATTAAAAAAATAAAAAATTTAGTACATTTCCCAATAAAGCAAATAAATGTAGACTAATCTTCACTGAAAGTTTCTGTGGATCTGTATTAGACAGACAAACAGGATGTAAAGCTATTATGAATTCAACGAGCCTTTCCTAAAATTCTTAACTTGAGCTTTAAACTTTGTAATATGAAGGACCATTTAGAAGTAAGGAGAAAGTAAGGAATAACTTTAAACCTAATTTAATATGGACAAACAAGCTACATGATTCCATCAAGAATATTATTCTATCAGGCAGAAATAGCAGACATACTTTTGCACAACATGATTTTAATAGTATTCATCTGAACATATGGTTTCAAAACAGTGAAATGAGAAGTCAACAAAAAAAAATTTCTAGACAGAGGGAAAAAAAGCCCCCCAAACAACTTTTTACTACTCAGTTTCATAAAGGACAAGAGCTTTGTAATCTCCTCTGAAGAAAAATATCAATGTGTGTGTGTGTGTGTGTGTATGTGTGTATCCACTGTCAATGATAATGTAAAGCAATTTTCGACATAAAAAGAGTAAATTTTCTGACTATCATTTAACTCAACTACAGCTTTTTACAGAATCACCTGCAGATGTGCTTTCGGAAGCTACAAATATTCCAACAAGGAAGATAATTCTATTGTCTTTTAGTAGGATTTTTTTTCCCTCCTGAATTGAGCTGTTTTGTGACACACTGCAATAGCACATATAAATGCAGTATGCTTCATTTCCCATGCTGTTCTGAACACAATTTTTCATTTGGATCAAAATAAATTAAAATTGGTCTTCAATACCAGATGTTCTGGCATGATACAACAATGTCAATTCAGCTTATTTATTGAACCAGCAGCTTTAAAATTATGATTTTATACTAAACTCCTGCTTGATATCCTCATTTCTTCATCCTGCAATTAAATGTCATTGCACTGTGGAAAGTTAGCATTTGGGGGAGCATGTTAGATTGTGGAGGTTTACATCAGACAGGTAAGATGATGACATACAAACATGATCAATTCTCATACAAATATACAACATCTTGGAACTTATAACAAACCCTAATATTTTAGACAAAAGGAATTGTCCCAGTTTAATCAATGTCACAAGTCTTGTTTTCTGATTTAAAATAAATAATGTCCAACTCATAAAAAAAAGTAACTGGATAAGACCCAATAACATCCTTTAGCAGGCATGAATGAGGGGGGTTTTGTTTGTATCACACTCGTTCACACAAAGTGGCTTTGGAAACAGTCAATTATCCATCTGTGATGAACAAGAGGAGCCATTCTACAGGTGCTACAAAAAGGCGCCTACTACAATCAAACAAGAGTGTTTAAGGAATGTGGAGTAAGAGTTAAGTGAATTTTCTGGTTAGCTGAAGGTCAAACAACCTTTTGGTATCAAACCTTGTTTTGGAAAAAAATTTGAGTGCACAATTCCATATACCTACCTTGCCTAGTGTTGCATATAATACTGAATATGACAGATTCACTCTCCTATAAATGTGGAACTGGAGAGACCTCACTGTCATATTCTGAACATCAGTCTTCATTCTGCAGTAAGTGAATTCTGAAGATGTGGCCTATTTAGGTGAATGAAAACTGACATAATCTAATTGTTTTTGTGTGTGATTTTGTGTGCAACATTCTCCAAAAAGTAGAGATAGCATACAGTTCAGGTAAACTGAGGGTACTTGGAGTTGGATACCTGGGTTCCAGGAATTGTGCTTAATTATATAAATCTATAACAATGGCTCAGACATACATTTTGAAATTCTGTGCTACTATAAAAGCTATCAAAGTCTTAGCATTAATAATGATGAGTAATAAAGATAGCAACAGAGTTGCAAGTACTCCAAGAGGACCAGTTTATATCTGCATTCCTTGCAGCAATCCTCTGATTTCCTAACTACCCTCCATGGTATATTAATGGAAAAAAGTGGTTTAATTTATGAAAGATAAATCTGAAGTGTTAAGACCTGGCCTAGGACTAGGAAGCTTGGAAGATGCTGTGCTCAGCAGTGAACTCATCTAAGAGCCTAAACTATGTTTGAAATTCATTTTGTTCTACTGGGAACAGATTAGGCAAGAATGGTTTGATGAGAAAGATTGAAATTGGGAAGTAACCTTGTTGGAATCATGATCTGAGAACAAAATTACTCATGGCAACAGTCCCACCTTTCGGGGTATTTCTAAGCAAACAGGTCTCCAGATGGGCTGGCAGAGAGCTCCCAGGAGGTCGAGAGAAAATGGGGAGGGAGAAAGAAGTGAAGGAGAGATGCAGAGAAAGAAGGAGAGGGGAACAGGAGAAGGAGTAGAAGAAGACAGACTAGGGGGGATCTGACACGGAAGGAAGGGGAGAGAGAGAGAGAGAGAGAGAGAGGGTTGAGAGAGGGAGAGAGAGAGGGGGAGGGAGGAAGAGAGAGAGGAGAATGAGAGCATGGAGGTTCTCAGCCAATGAACAGGGGGGTGGTGGGAAAGATATGACCCTGTAAACCTACTTCCCTCAAGAAACTCCTCGAAAGGGACCACCATGGCAGTGATCAGTGCGGGCAAGAACTGGGTGCTGAAGGGAGGTGAAGTGATATGCATGATACTCCTTCATTACAGTATTGCAAACTACGGTGCCTTAAAGGAAAAAAAGAAAAGTGTCTGCCACGGAGGCAGGCTGGGGGCTGGGACCCTGGAGGAAGGATGGGTGCTCGAGCACTGTACAACTGAAACTCCATCATGAACAACTTTGGAACTTTGTATCTCATGGCAAGTCAATAACTTGAAAAAAGAAAAAGAAAAAAATTCTTTAGGGATTAAGGAAGGTAATATACAGCTGAGGATATACAAAATGCTTATACTTTTAATATTTTAAGCTAATAGTTTGGAATATGTAGTGAAATGTGGTTATTTCTCTTAGAGACCTGACACTCTAAATCAGTGTTTCCTCAGGGTGGGTGATACTGCCCTCACGGGTTCTGGAATGACTCAGGGGAGGGGAGTAGCCCAGAGAACAACACTGTGTAGGTGCTAATCTAGAAATTTCTAGGCAAGTTTCCATAGGAGCAGAGTGCTGAGTGATTTGCTTTTCTCCTTGAAAAGGGAGCAGTACGGTAAACAACTCTGGGAACTTCAGCTTTAAATGGACAGATTTCTATTTACATTGCAAAGCACTATTGGATATTTCTTTTTATAGTCATACAGAATCCTAAGAATTGATACTTATTACTACTACCATGTTTATATTAAATAAAAACTTTATTTAAATAAACAGCGATCATTTCATTATCGCACTTCTCAGCAACTGATTTCATAAGAGATTCTGGCTTTGGAAGTCCAGAAAATTACAAGCTACACTGAAAAAACAACAACAATTATAGTTATATTAACTATGCCATTCACATGGATAACAGAACAGCCATCTTCCTTGTGCTAAAAACACACACACACACACACACACACACACACACACACACACACACCATTTTAATGCAGCAATTCTAAAGCATTTAGGACATTTTCCAGGTCTTTCCCCTGTGACACCTAGATGTACTCACATTGGTCACTACAGCCAGAATTGCTATTCCTTGCATGATGGGCTGCCATGCTCCGATGTCTTGGGCTTTTTCTGGCACCATGCGTCTATACTGGGTAGTCATTTTCCATGCGTCCACTCTTATTTCCAAAATATTGTTCACCAGAGCCAACAGAGGAGCCAGTGGAAAAGAGGCCACAAATAAGGTGACGAACCCAAACTGAATAACTGTCAATGAAATGGACACATATCATGGAGGGTGGATGGATAGAAGGACAACATATTTTCCTCTTTTCTCATCAAAAAAATAAAAAAGAAAGAAAAGAAAAGAAAGTCAAACAATACACACTAAGTCCCCCAAAAGAAAAGACATTGATGGTAAAAACCTAATGTTCAACATTAACAGAACCCAAACAAAACACAAATATGAAATCTCTGGAAAGAAGATAAATTATAGTGTGTTCCTTTCATATGTATACACATAGCTGAAATAACATACTTAAGAATCTTTAGCCAACCATTCTATTTTTCCCCTTTTGCTGGTAATAAGCTCAGAACACTGAACATATTTATTTTCCACAATGAAAAATGGAACCTTGGAAGAGACAATTCACAATCTAGGATTTAAAAATCTGTGGAAATATCTAACAAGTTGAAAAGGAAGAGTACTTTGGGGAAGACTATGCTTCAAGAATATTGGAAGAAATATGCTAAAATATGCAAATGACACACTCCTGAGTCTGTGAATGCAAATCAGAGCACAATCAGAGAATCTGTGATACATCACAAACCCCAGAAACACAAGTGACAAAAGTTTCTTAACAGTTTCTCAAATACAATCCTTCTTTAGAAACTTTTAGCTTGAAGTTGCACTAGTGGTCACGAGAAGTCAGGATCCAGGCATGGAAGGAAGGAGAGAGGAAGGGCCAGAGAGGTGAGAAAGAAACCTTGTGTTAGATCTTTCCTTCAAACTTGGGAGACCATTAGGCCAGTACAGCTGTGCAGAGTGGGCTCTAGGAGGGCACAGTGAGGGCTCCTACTGGGTGGAAGGATGAGGACCCCCCGGGAGAAAGGGAATGACATGAAGGTGAGGCTCGCTGGCTGGAGCTGGCGTTTGCTCTGGCCTGTGAGGCCAAAGCATGTCATAGGAGAGTAACAGAGCTGGAAGAACGTCCAATGGCCAGGCAGGAGCTGTCATGGATTAGTGACTCTGAGCCCAAGCCCAGAGTCAGTGATAACTGCAGCACAGCAGTAATCAGCACCTGTGCCTACAGGCGGCTGAACCCACATAAAGCACCAGGAAAACAGTGAAATGCATTACGTAGGTAGAGTTAACTATGGTGAACTAGAAAGCTCACCGCTGCTCTGTGGGAATGTAGAACTAGTACTGCCTGATCTTAAAGATGCCAGAAATCAAGATATTAGGAATAACTCCAGCTAAATAACCAAAGAGAAAAGACTCTATTTATTTACTTTTGGGTTTTTCTGGGAGACATTCAGTGGTGGCCCTCAGGGTTACTCCCAGCTCCGTGCTCACAGATCACTCCTGACAGTGCTCAAGGTACCATCTGTGATGCCAGGGACTGAACCTAGAAGTGCCACTAGCCCTGGCAAGCACCAGACCTGCTATACCGCACCTCGGAGCCAAGATTCTAATCTATACTAACAACAAAGTTCGTAGAAGAGTATTCACAGAGTATTTAGGAATAAATTGGAAAAATATGTTAAGCTATTATGGTGATCAACTTAAAAGCAAGAAATAAAAACAAAGATGAGTAAATGAGTGGCAGGATGACTCATATTCTTAATTGGACAGGTTTCAATTTTGGGATATAGCAGGATTTTTTTTCCCCTCCAAAATATAATTAATAGTTCTAATACAAATTTAGAGAATAATCCCAAATGGATTTAAGAAATGCTAAAGTACTGCTAATTATTTTTAAAGAGAGAAAAGAAGACAAATAAAACAAGAGGGCTGGAGAGATAGCAGGGCAGATAAGGTTTGCACACCACCAGCCTGGGTTTGATCACTGATACCCCATGTGGTCCCCGAATACTGCCAGGAGTGATCCCTGAGCACAGAGAAGTAAGCTCCGAGCACTGCCAGGTACGGCTTGAAAACAAACAAACAAACAACAGAAGAAACAAAGAGAATACAAGTAAAATCACATGTAAGCATATCTGAACTGAAATTTATCACCTTCTGAGAAGGGATAAAGTGAGCGAGACCACAGCTGAGGAGATATTAATTTTTATTACATTGTATGGTATTTGAGACAAGTTCATTAGTATTGAGATCTGAAAAAAGATGGGTGTGAATTTTATACCACATTTCATAATGTGACTATTGCCAACATATAATCACTACATTCTGTTTTAACTTATATGGGAATAATTAAAAATGAAAAACTTTAAAGGAACAAGTGGACCAGAAGTAACATAAGGACTGCGGTGAAGGACCTAGGACACTCTGGAAGTGATGAAGCACTTCTGGTGCAAATTTGTATATGAAAACCACAAATGTTAACACTATTGTAACATTGTTACCTAAAACAGTAGTTTACAGCCACTGACCCATGCACCAAGGCCAATACACAAGTTTAGAAAGGTTGAAACCAATATCCAACCTCAGAAGAGTGACCAAAAAGCTGTGGTGCAGTGTACTATATACATTGGAATACAATGCACTCAGAAAGAACAAACTCATGCAATTTTCTGTGACATGAATGGAAACAGAGACTATCATGCTGATGGGAGTCAGGAGGAGAGGGACAGACACAGACTGATCTCTTCCATGTGTGGGACTTTAAGATACACAGCAGGTAGCAAAAAGGGACGAAGGCAACAGTGATCCATCAAACTGATGGGAAACGGTTCACAGAACTGAACTTGGTGGAGAGAGGGGGTGAAAAGGAGGAGCTCAGGGCCTTCAGGGAGGTAGTTGGGTACTTTGCAGATGGGTGGGTGGTTGGGATTGTGTACACAGGAAGTCATCATTAATAGTACTGTAAACCACAGAGCCTCAATCAATACAATTTCTTTTTTTTTTAAACTGCAAATTACTGGTCTACTGTAGCATTGTCGTCCCATTGTTCATCGATTTGCTAGAGTGAGCACCAGTAACGTCTTCATTGTGAGACTTGTTACTGTTTTTGGCATATCAAATACGTCACGGGGAGCTTGCCAGGCTCTGCTGTGAGGGCAGGATACGATACTCTCGGTAGTTTGCCGGGCTCTCTGAGAGGGATGGAGGAATCAAATCTGGGTCGGCCGCATGCAAGGCAAACACCCTGCCTGCTGTGCTATCACTCTAGTCCAGTCTACTGTAGTGGTTATAATAAAAGGAAAAGAAATAACTAAAGAAATAAAGAAATAAAGAAAGAAAGAAAGAAAGGAAGGAAGAAAAGAAAGAGGGAAGGAGGGATGCAAGCTTCACATAATGGTCTTGTCCTACTTTAAAAAAATAACTGGTATAAAATCTATGATGATTGGGACTGGAGCAATAGTACAGCAGGTAGGGTTCTGGCCTTGCATGTGGCTGACCCAGGCTCCATCCCTTGCACCCCAATGGTTCCCCATGCACCACCAGGAGTAATTTCTGATTGCAGGCCAGGAGTATACCCTGAGCATTGACAGGTGTGGCCCACAAGCCCAACACCAAAAAACCCAAAGAAAACAAAACAAAAAATTGTGACCATCACGTTGTAAGATGTGGTACTTAAAAAAAATAATTCAAAGGATGAAGCAATTAGTCAAATAACTAGAGGAACTAGTGTAGAGTTCTTTAAAAAAAAAAATCAAAGTTTTAAAGAAAAGTCTTCGTTGTGTTTTATTGACCATGGCCTTTGGTGGTTGGAGCAGTCCAGGTGGTCAGAATTTCCCAAACTTACTTGGTTTACTTTCCCCATTTTATAAAAATGCACTTCTGGGAATCTATTTCTATTTTTTTCTTTTCCGCCTTTCGGATCACACCCAGCAATGCACAGGGATTACTCCTAGCTCTGCACTCAGGAATTACTCCTGGCGGTGCTCAGGGGACCATATAGGATGCTGGGAATTGAACTCAGGTCGGCTGTGTGCAAGGTAAACACCCTACCCGCTGTGCTATTGCTCCAGCCCAGGAATCTACTTCTTTAAGAACAGACAGAAAGTGTTTGCATACTGTCCCTGGATCCAAAACTGCAATTCTTGGGCCATTTTTGTGCATGCAGGAGAGGGAGGGCAGGCACGGCCCATTTTGGGATAGTCCCGTGAGAAGGCTTTTCTAAACAGATACCCCACCTTCCAGTAGCTAGGCGGTACACCCACCAACTGCCCCCACCCCCCCAGCGCCGTGTTATCCCATCAACGGCCAAGACCCAGGGACTATAAAACCCAGTTCCCGGAAGCGCGTGGCCGCATTTGTGCCCCGCGACCTCTTTTTGTCTAGTCCTCACTCTTAGAGAACCCGACAGGCTACCGAGTATATCCTGCTCGCTTGGCAGAGTCTGGCAAGCTCCAAGTGGCGTATTTGATATGTCAAAACCCAGTAACAATGATGGGTCTCATTCCGCTGACCCTGAAGGAGCCTCCAACGTGACACTTGCTAAAATCTCAGGGCTAGGACGAGTGGAGACGTTATTGGTGCCTGCTCGAGGAAATCGATGAACAACAGGATGACAGTGATACAGTGATCTTTTTTTAAAAAATAACGTTTTGGTTAGAAAATATGAGAGTGACTAGAGAGTGAGCAGGGAATTGGGATAGAAGAGAACAGGAGAGCAGGGGGAGGGGAGAGAGGGGAAGAACAGGAGAGTGGGGGAGGGGAGGGGTCTAGGGAAGGGGGAGAGAGAGAGAGAGAGCCTGGGATGCAGAACCGAGTTTCTACTAAACCAGTAACACAGAAACAACATCCTCAAATCAGATGTCCATTCTGCAAGGCGAAAGCTCCCTTTAGGCAGGGACAGGAAGATTCCCTCTCTGCTTGGAGGCAAAGAAGACAGCGGCCACACCCAAGCCACACACACTGCAGTCCTGCTCCACAGTTAATCTCAAAAAGGGTTTTCCCTGAGGGACCAGGCTCTGGGTGGCAACCTCCAGCGGTTTTCAGGATGCGGCGGGCACACTCCCCCTCCCCCCACCCACTCACCCACCAGACAATCAGCAGCTCTCTTGCCAGTTAGCTCCACAATTCACCTGGGAAAACACCTGCCGCCTTCAAACCTTCCCCGGACCACCCAGGGGGATCCTGGCGAGAGGGAAGCCGGTTCCCTTTCTGCCTGAAGCCCCCCACACCCTGCGGCCATGCCCAGCAACTGGTCCGGCTCCACCACGGACCTCATCAAACTGCCACGCCACTCAGGCCGTCCAGCTCACTGCAAAGGCAGCCAGCTTGACACCATCAAAATTCCCGGGACTGTCAGCTCAGTGGCCTCACAGCACAGCTGAGGGAAAGGTGTGTAGAAGCCCACCCAGCTCTGAGAGCGAAACAGAACACAGACGGCTCAACGAGCATGAGCCCCAGAAACCCTCAGATACTGACTCTAGTAACACCCCTGTGAGATAGAACAATAGTCACAAATGGACTTTTATTGATCTACGCCTTGATAATTCCATTTGCCTTTGTATTGGAACAAAAAATACGAAGTAAATTTTTTCTGCCTGCTAAAGGGGTAGACTAGGGTGGTGGGTGACACTGGTGGAGGTAAGTCAAATGGTTGAATTGGTACTGAAACATTTAATGCCTGAAACAACTGTATGATGAACAATTGGGGAAATCATGGTGTTATAAAAAAAAAAACCACAAACAAACCCTCCCATTACAGAACAAAATAAACCTTGCCTAGAACTTTTTCACAACCTACACTGTTCTCTAGTACTTTCTGTGCTTGCTTCTTTACTTTTCTTGAAATCAAGAACCAAGTTGGGGGAGGTGGTATGTGTGTGTGTGTGTGTGTGTGTGTGTGTGTGTGTGTGTACTGCCAAGCTGTTTTTCCCAGTGCCAGATGATCAGGTTTTGCTTTCCTCCCTGAATTTACCCGAGTATATTCTTCAGTACATGTGTGTGTGTGTGTGTGTGTGAATGTTCAAATTCTTAAAGCAATTTTACTTCTCAGCGAGCCTTCTCTGTGTTGACACAAGCCTGCTGAATTGTTTCCAACTATTCTGCTGTCACTTCAGTTTGTGGATTTCTCTTTCCCTTTAGAGATCCCCTTAGCCAGTTGCTATAATCCGTCCTCTCTGAGCACGCCCGAGTCACTCAAGGTCTCACTGCAGCAAGTCTCATCACCTCATAGGTAAATTCAACTTTGCCATTGTTCTCCGATGTCTCACATTTCATCCTCCAAATATCCAGCACTAAACCATTTGCCTAAGCAACTCCTCTGGAGTTTGTTAAAATGAATTCTACTCCGCACCTGCCATTCTATCACCTACTTTATTTTCTTTTTAATTTATTGTTTTGGGTCCACATCCAGAGGCACTCAGAAACCACTCTTGACAGTGCTCAGGGGACTATGCGCAATGCCTGGGCTCTAGGAGGTTGGCGACATGCAAGGCAAGAGCCTTGCCAATTATCTGTCTGGACCCCAGCAGCCACCTGAATGTCTGTGTACCCTGATCCATCTGAATGCGTCTAGCCTCTATCCAGGTGTGTATTACTTGTTTAGGTTACTTGGTGCTACCTCCCTGAAATCCCTCCCCCGCCTCCTAAGTACAGCTCATTAAAGATCTCTCCTTTTTCTGTCACTTTGATTATCTTCAAGAGAAATATGCAGTTCTCCTGTTTATAAATACTCAGATGCAACTCCAAATTATGACAACATAATTCCTCATTCAATGCCATTTATTTGGCAAATCATCAAACAGAAAAATATACCGCCCCATCTTTTGAGCTAAAATTACAAGTTTTCCTCTCTTCCAGGATATTATTAACACTGACAATAGCGCCACTAAGAAAGTTATAATTAATAGGCAGTTGTCCGGAAGTCCTTTTCAAAATAAGCACAATCAATCAATCAAGCAATCTTCTAAGTTATGTATGCAGCTACATCCTGAATGAAACCTGGCTATAAAAAATCATTAAAGCCAAAATAAATGTAACTCAGAATATAGGTTGCAAAAAAATGATCGAAGAAGCTATAAGATAAGCCTTCCACTGCTGAACTATGAGTATGTGTTGCCACATATGTTTATTACAAATTTCAATATATATTCAAAAATAAAAATCTTGTAAGGAATATGATTTAATTAAAAATGAGCCTCCATCTGACGACTTAAAAACAGATACCACAAAAGGATGCCTTTGCAAACATGCAAAATCTGTCCTGATATTCAAAATGTGCCTCGCTTTCACCCTTCTAGGGTTAAGAAAATTTCAATTTAATATGCTAGGGAGGGGAAAGGGCACAGACACAAAGCACGTAAAGTGTTAGTCCTCTGTTCATATGTGTCACGTAGAACAGAAAAGATGGTGTTTCTTAGGGAAATCAATTTTGAGACGGTTCCATAATGACAGAGAAATCAAACCCAAGCAAATATTCCACACGCGGATAAAGACATTGTCCTGTGCTGGATCAACAAAAACGGTTCTGTTTTAAGACACGATCAGCAATCAGGTTACTCAAGCAACCAGAGAGTCGCCGCTGTCCAGGAGAAACTGATCTGCTGTTTCAGGGGAGGAACGGGAGGAAAGCCTGTGATCACTCCTGCCATTAAGCTCTTCAAGCCAAGTCTAAGTCGGCTGAAATGACTCAGTTCAGACGTGTGTGGCCGAAGCCGGCCTGCTCCAGCTCCAGCTGAATCACATCTAATATTAGTTCTAAGTTAATCCTCAGACAGCATGGTTGGAATGCTCTGAGAACGCTGAAGATATAGCTCAGTGAATATTCCATTTCATTGCTGTAGCTTGCACAACATAAATATTGACAAAGATACACACAGTCATCGTATTTGAAAGTCTGGCTATAAAATTTTATCTACTGGAGGAAAAAGTGTTCTGCTTTCTTCCAGTATGGTAGGCAATCATTCGACTCAAGAGTTGATGCTTTGGGGATCTAAATCATGGTATCAATAAAACTCACATGATCACAGAGTTTGATTACTTACTCATTTCAAGATATTCATAGAAAAGCCCCAGTCTACCCATGAGTTGCAGATGGTAGTCTTGTTCCCAGCGTGGGGCTGTCTTTTCTGCTCCAGAAACTGTGCGACATCGCCCAATTAGGTTCTTGATCCAGCTGCCAAAGAGATCAAATTATAAATTAAGTATAAGACCAAGGTCATAAAAGTATTTTGTAGCTATCTCAAAATTCCTGAGAAATTACTCCCCTCCACCCCTATGTCGAGTTTCTTTGTATTTCTGTAGCTGGAAATTCTGAGCTGTCATTCATCCATCCCTGTCTCTGAGGTCTTCTGGGTTGTCTACTGAGTGATTACATGCTGAGATAGCCATCTTGTCTGCACAGGAGAATCACCTGTGGAACTTCAACAAAATGCAGATATTGTATATTTCTCCTGGCCAAAGCTACAAAAAATTTCCTTGATTTTAGCATTCAAGCCTAGCAGTATCATAGTAAGTTTCCTTTACTAAGTCTTTATAAAGTGTGCAGGAATGACAGGGTAGTGGAAAACACTTCACATCTTATCTTCTCCTGTCTTCATATTTAACCCACAAACTAAAGAAAATCATCACTTCTATTTAAGAAGACATTCCAGGGGCTGGAGTGACAGCACAGCGGGTAGGGTGTTTGCCTTGCACACAGCTGAGCCAGGTTCGATTTCCAGCATCCCATATGGTCCCCCAAGTACCACCAGGAGTAATTCCTGAGTGCATAAGCCAGGAGTAACCCTTGTGCATTGCCGGGTGTTACCCAAAAAGGGAGGCAAAAAAAAAAAAGACATTCCATAGCACTCTTACAAGCTAATTTTGACAAGCTAAAAATTAGTTTGTCATCCAAATTAATTTCATCTCCCAAGAGCAATGTTTTTTAATTTAAAGAGGGATGTTTGAAGTGACAATTATTTTCTTTTTTTGTATGTCTCTGGATCACTCTCTGACCAAATTTTTCTTGAGAAAGCTTATACAGGTTCACTTTTTGTAGAGTACGAGTATTACAGATACATTGTAGAAAATACAGAAAATAAAGGTAGTCAGAGCTATTCATTATTCACTGTCAAAAACAATCCTATTGGTATTTGGAATCTTTAATACTAATTATCATATCCCTACCCTCTAAATCTGCTCCAGCCCCAAATTTCTCCAGAGAGAGTTTCCTAACACAACAATTTTGCAAAGTGTAAGAATAAAATCTCCAGCAGTGCCTCAAATAGCAAATGAAATGAATTTTGAAAGGCCAATGGGGCCCCTAGAAGTATGTCATTTGCATCTAATAAAGAATTCATTAATGTACTGATGTTATATGTTTGATTTATGTGAACCATTCATTTATTCAATCGATTCTTACTATGTGTCTTCTAAATGCCAGGTACTGGAGTGATCCCCAAAAGGAACACGGACCACAGTGCCAGGTATGCTTCTGATTTTGCTCTAAGCATCCTAGTTAAAAAATCCTAAGTGTGCTGAGAAGAAGAGGTACATTTACCTTAGAATTACTTTATAATGTTCCTTTTGACATTTAAATGTCATAAAAAGCAGCAGGATTACTATAGTTTTCTCTCCAACCCTACATATTTAGGGAAGGGAGAGTTTTGGGTAGCACAGTAAATATTTCGTCCTTTTTTATGCTAGAATTTTTATAAAGGAATAAGAAACTGGTGCCTCGACAAAGAGCAGTGATAGTGACAAGAGCAAGTCACTCTCCAATGCCAATTTTCAAAAGGGAAAAATAAGTCAAAATATGCCGCCCAAATATTGTCAGCCAGGAGTTGATATACCTGAAGGCAAAGTTTAGATTACTCTACTTTGCAACAAAGGACCTACTTGAGGCAAATTCACCCATGGATAATATAACCTTTAAAAAAAAATGTAATGGGCTGCAGAGACAGTTCAGTGGGCTGAGACACTCTGGAGGCCTGCGCTTGATCGATGTCCAGCAGTGCATGTCCCTGAGAATTGTCAGCAGCGACCTCCTACCACAGAGCTGGGAACAGGCCCTGAGCACATCTGGGAGTGCCCCTCTCTCATCTCCAAAAGGGGAAAAAAAGTAACAAAATATTTCATGTGAATCTATCAATAAACATTTATGAAAATACCGTTCCCTTGAATTTTTTACATAAAAATAGAAAATGGCAACAAATTAGTCATCTAAACTTATTGTTAACTACTTCCTTCAGAAAAACGCAGTTTTAATAATCTGAGTTAAGAATTTATTATTATCCAATTTATTATCATACAGAAAGAGTTTGATTTGCTCATGACCCACTTTTGTTTATCTGGATAAATCTCAGTATGAATTCAACAAAGGTAAAGGTTTTACTTTAACTGTGTTCTTTTTTTTTTTAACACATTAATTTCACATATAAGATCAGCAAAAAGCTTCTTTTGGAGGGAAAGGGGACAGGCATGGCTATATTTGAAGATGGACTGCAAGGTCACATTTTAGGATATAGATGAAAGAATCTGGAAGAACCTTGGACTATAGGTCTCTGCTCTAAAGAAAGAGGAAAAACCGAGCTAAGCCTCCACAGAGCAAAACAGTGGAACTGTGATATTGGGGAAGAAAGACAGGAAAGGGGATGGAAGGAGAGAAGGAGCACGTGTGTGGCACTGGGACAGAGTAGGAGGAAAGACAGTGCAAAATGGCGTGAACTAGCGTCTACAGAGAAGGGTTATTAAAAAGAACAAACCCAACTGATCAGAACCCTTATTTCCCGGTTACATAGAGGATAAAAAGACATTTAAAAATTAAAAAAAAATTTAAAATTTGAAGTAGTTTTAGCTTTTGCCAGAGAGAAGTACTAATGTGAAAGACAAGACAGAAGAGAGACCAAAAGTTTAGTGAAAATAGTAATTCTGAGCCTGCCATGGTCTTGCAAAGGTGTATGGTAGACAAAGTGTTCCCTATCCAAGACATCCAGAGCTTGGTCCCCTCCTCAACCCCTCCCTGTCACAGGGCGTGTGACAGGCAGGGAGTCATGATTGCATCAAGAGTTACATTCGCTGATCAGTTAACTGGAAAGATTCTTTTCAGGATTAACCTTGGGATCAAAGTAACTGCATGGACATTCAAAGTGGAAGAAGGAGGATTTATAAGCGAAAGAGATGGGAGGGTTTATAACTACACGCAACCTTGCTAACACTGGGATGGAGACGTGAGTTCACAGGCCAGGGACTGGGGGTGACTGACTTTTAGAAGCTAGAAAAGGCAAAACAACCAAATGGATTCACTGGCGAGTCTTCAGAATTCTGCCAACACTTTGAGCCCAGTGATCCCCGGGGTAGACTTCTGACAGAATCATAAAATAAATATGATATTTTAACTCACTAAACTTGTAATATTCATACAGCAAAAATAGAAAATGAATACAACAAATTTCTTGAAAAGTATGAAAACCGTGGACAGCAATTAACTGCATTTTTGCTATATATTAGGGGCTAAGCATGATGTGGAAAGGATAGTGAGACCTCAGCTAATATATGTTCCTAATTACTAGGCTATGACCACTGAGTCATAACCCTTATGGTTATTATTTTAGTGAATTATGCCCTAAAACATTATATAACCTGTGCTTTAGGACTGCAAGAGACCCTTTGTTTCTATTTCATTTTTATTATTGTTATTTTTTTTTTAGGGCGGAGTGATAGCACAGCCAGTAGGGCGTTTTGCCTTGCATGCGGCCGACCCGGGTTCAATTCTTCTGCTCCTCTTGGAGAGCCCGGCAAGCTACCCAGAGTATCTGGCCCGCACAGCAGAGCCTGGCAAGCTTCCCGTGGCATATTTGATATGCCAAAACAGTAACAACAAGTCTCACAATGGAGACGTTACTGGTGCCCGCTCGAGCAAATCAATGAATAATGGGAGGACAGTGATACCGTGCTATTATTTTTTTAATGTAGGAGTATTGCTATTTATTCAGCCATTGATTAAGCTGACTGGAGACCTTCTGTTTTTAAAAGCACATAGATTTAGAGTTGTGGTATCTTGGATTCGAATCCAGTATCCTCTAATGTGGATTTGGTTAAATTATTTAGATTCTTTAAGTCAGAGAACTTTCAGTTGCAAAAAAGAGAGTATTAAATATATACAAACACTTAATACTGTGTTTTAAGTAACTGAGACAAAAGCACTGAAAAGTTGCAACTACTAATTTTTAAATGCATGGTGTAAAGGGAAGAGAGAACTGTACAAAGTAGAGACATCTTGTGCAGTTTCAAGGAGGGCCATCCCTCCTAGGGCTGTGGTCAGTCAGCTGACAGCCATGAGATAACTGGATAAATTATGTAAGATGGAATTGAAGTTGAAGAAGTATTATTTAAAAGTTTCTTTCTTAAACACCTAATACATTTATACTGTTGGACCATCTTGTCTGGAAACCTTCACTAACCATTAACCTACTGCATCTACTGACTTGTAGATAAATGATCGGGGAAAAATGATCTGTTCTATCCTCATGCAACCCGATACTCACGGAAGTAACACCTCCTGTATGTTATTCCAGATCGCTTTTCCTCCCATGATTATTATCAGCTGTGTTGTCAGTTCAAGGAGACAGCCACCGGGGTCACACTAAAATGTTAAGAAAATCTCATTTAAATTTTAGCTAGACCAAACATGAAATAGTTGATAAATAGTTTATAAAATGTATGATATTTATTCTGTTTAGGCTAAAAGCAAAACAAAACCCAAAGGAAAGTACAGTGAGGAAAATACTCATTGGGCAACTTAGGGAAAATATGAAACAGATTACGTTATTAAGATGTTATAATTCTAAACTCAAACCTCTTCATTTCTGTATTTCCCGAGCCAATAAACATGATCTCCTGGATATCCTACAAATTTGCCCTTAAAGAATGCTATGTAGAAACAGGAAGAGTAATAGTTGACAAACTGGAACAGGAACATCTTCATGGTTAGGCTATTCTCATAATCAGTCTGGGTCCTTGGTAGTTCTGTAGTTAAAACAAAGAAAATGTTGAAATGTTATATGGCTTTGAGATCCAAATTAAAAACACCAATACATGAGTTAAAATGCTAAAAAAAGAACAACAACAACAACAACAAAAACCCAACCAAACAAGAAAACAAACCAACAATTCACATTTTCCATTTAGGCTGTTTGGCCTCCTTAATAGAATGACTGTGTTTATTTCAAGTTCACACATTGTTATGAAATTACTTCACCCCATCCCATGAATAAAGTATCACATAAGACAAAAAGTGTATAATTGAAACCCAAGCACAAAAATGTGTAAGTCTGCAACTGTACCTCATGATGTCTCACTATTAAAAATTTTTTTTAAAAAAGCGTGTGTATGTACACACACACACACACACACACACACACACACACACACATATCATGGTCACGGTCCTCCCATTGTTCATCGATTTGCTCGAGTGGGCCCAGTAACGTCTCCATCGTGAGACTTGTTCTTACTGTGTTTGGCATATCGAGTACGTCACGGGTAGCTTGCCAGGCTTTGCCGTGAGGGCGAGATACTCTCGTAGCTTCCGAGCTCTCAGAGAGGGGCAGAGGAATCGAACCTGGCTTGGTCAGGCCGGCTGTGCACAAGGCAAACACCCTACTGCTGTGCTATCACTCCAGCCCACAAACACACACACACACACACACACACACACACACACACACACACACGCATGCACACACATACACACATACACACACACACACATATATACATATATATATATCAAGACATATATATGTATCTCCCCCAAAACCCTGAACAAAAACCAAAAAGTTAGGGACTGGAGAGATAGTACAGGAGGTAAGGCACTTGCATATGACCAAGAAGTGTTCAACTCCCAGCACTGAAAGGTGCATTCCTCCTTCCCCCGTGCCCCCCAAGCCCAACACCTCTAAGAATGACACCCATGACAGAGCTGGAACCATCACTGGGTGTGTGCCCTGCCACCAAGAAAACAAAACAAAAACCAACAGTTTTCTGCACAATGTTACCGAATGGGCAAGAACCATATTCTCTCAGGCTTAAACTGACAAAACAATTTTCATTCTTTTGGAAAGAGGCTTCTAAATAATACAAGCCTCTTTGAATTGCACCAAGATGGGTCTATTGGAGAAAACAACTTGCTAGCAGCATTTGGGAAAGACAACACAGACCAATCTCTCAGTGCAGAGTTTAAATGGATCTGACTGTCTCAGAAGATGGCCACAGAGCATATCTTTCAGAGAATGAACCAGGCGTGTGCAGCATGAGGGAAGCACTTAACCTTGGTCACCAAGCAGCTGCCTGGGCTATGAGCCAGAGAGAAAAGACACTTATTCCAGAAGCCAGAGCTGCTAGAAAGGAGCGATATTAATGCGAACAGCATGGGGGGGAACATGCAGCAGGGCGATTACTTGTCCTCTCAGCAACAGAGGAGCCTATGTGCCACAGGAACATGACCCTGCCCCACTTATCTGCAATAAAGACAAGATTTACTTTCACCAATAGGGTACATGACACGATGTCACTGAAAGTGTTATTCAGCACTGATCTGTTTGCACAAATCTTCAACATTATGATTGTCTTTCCTCTGTCCTTTTTACTAATGTAAAGCAGTAGATATGTCATCTCATATGTAATTCAGAGGAATATAAAATGCTAACATCTTGGAAACGAAGCTGTCTATAAGACACTGTCTTCAGGGCTGGTGCATACACACATGTGGCCAACCTGGTTCGATCCGCATCATGCAATACGGTCCCTCAAGCACCACCAGGAGTAATTCCTGTGTTAGGGCCAGGCTTAACCCCTGAGCACTGCTGAGTGTTGCCCCCAAACAAACAAACAAACAAACAAAAGGAAAAAAAGACATGGCCTTCATTTTTTTTTTTTACCAGATTCTAAGATATATCTTAAAAAATGATCCTGTTAAAGGAGGATCTTACCGAAGTTAGTAATCATGATTGCCACTTTCTCATATATGATGTTCAGGATCATGATGATGATAAAGCTGATGATGGATGCTGTGACGGACGTGGCTGTCTGGGGCGTCAGATACTTCTGGATTGTGTCGGTTTCAGTAAAGTTTGAGGGAAGTTTTGAAGAAAACACAATGAAGACGGAGAGTCTATAGACAATTATTCCGATAACTGAGGCGATGATTAATAGAATCTAAAAGTAGAATACATAAAATAGCCAATAAAATCACCAATATGTCTGAATGAGACAAGTCATATGTGGAAAGTGACAGAAATGACACAACTGACACAGGGAGGTGAGAACAAGGTTAAGTGCCTCTCCTATTGTGTGTGATCCCTGGTGAGCACCGAAACTAAAAGGATGTTTGAGAACTGTGGGTAGGAGTGAGTTCTCCAGCAAGCATGAGTCTGACATCACAGTGACCTCCATGCAGCAAGCTGTACATGTGTGTCAGTACTACAATGAATTGAGTGTGACCCCATGAAGCGCATGTATAAGCCCTACTGAAGAATGCAAGTCTCACTAAGCACTGCAACCAGGTGAGTGATCTGCTCAGGGAGTCCAAACCCAGCACCACAACCTAGTGCTGTGGCTTCTGTTCACTGCAACAAAAGGTAAGAAGGGAAAGAAAAGGCGTGTGTATCTGCAGGTGGGGTAGACACAGGACACTGTGTCCACCTTCTGCAAAAAGAAAGTGTCTGTGACCAAAGCCAGTGAACATGTCCTTCTGTTATTACAGAGGTATTTAGGTTATGAGTGTTTTTTTTTCCTCAGTTATAATCCATTAAGGATACATTTCCTTTTACCAGAGAGCTTATTACAGCCACCGAACGCTTCCTTCTGTTTTATGAACAGGGACAGTGAAGCTGCGAAGTGCCCCGAGTTAACTCTGGAAACGGCCGTCTCCATGGCTACGAGGTTTACTCTTGTCACATGTGGACCTTAAAAACTGGAAGTCACTCCTGCCTACATCAGTATAGAATCTGTTTCACTAAGAAACTGTAATTTTACCATACAGACCAATTATCTGTAGCAGCATCTGAGGCATATTTTGCATAAGGCAGGATCTTACTGTGTGGTCACACAATAAATTCCACTAAAGTTTCCCTTCCACCTGCCACCATAGCCTTTAAATGCTGGGCCCTACCCAGCTGTGTTCAGGGTTACTCCTGGCTTGGTACTTAGAGGTTACTCTAGGCAGTGCTTGGGGGACCTTGAGGTGCTGGTGATTAAGCCTTGCCTGTAGGAGGCCCATTGCACAATCTTCCAATCTTCTGAGCCCCGATGATCCCACTTAGAGGATGTTTTCCCTACAGTATTCTTACAGAAGTTTTACATAAAAGACAATGGAATTCAGAAGCAGACATCTGGTGTGTCTGCTTGTGTTGACAGCCATGCGAGAGAGAAGCAACAGAGAATGGGAACACCGGGTCTAAGCCAATATCTCCTGCTGTTTATAGTAAAGAGGGATGCTGATTTCCATCTTGGGGAGAGGAGTAAAGGTAGGAATTACGAATGTGCTCACGGAGTTAGACTCCTACAACCGAATTCCAGTTTTCCGTTGGAGGAGATTGGAGGAGATTCTACAAATTATTTAACACTTTGGGACTTCAATTTCCTTTCCATAGAATGGGAAGACATTAACAGCAAGTCACTCCCTGTCAGTTATACCATTTGTAATTCTCTTCTGTTCAGTAGGTTGCCTTTTCATTGGGTGATGGTTTCTTTTGGAGAACTGCAATAATAACACCTGAAATACTGCCTTAAGAAATTATTTAAAAATAGTGAGCAGGGCTAGAGAGAGTGAGGGTGCAAAAGCGCATGCCTTGCATACGGTGGGCCCTAGTCACCCCCACATTCTCCCCCGCACCCCCAACCAGCACTTTCAGGGTGGCTGTGATAACCCCTGGCACTGCATTCCGCAGACTGAAACCCCTGCCAAAGAGCTGAGCATCCCTGGGAAGGCCCCAGGGAGTCCTGAGCACACCTGCTGCAAAAGCTCCCCCCTCCTTCCTCCAGCTGGGAACTAGCAACTAACTTACAGGATTGTTGTGGTGACTCAATAAATTACTAAGAGACTTAGAAAATAAACTCAAACACATGGGAATCACTTACAATATTAGCTATGGTTATAGAGTCTAAAGTCTAAAGTGTAAATGCCATTAAAATTTTTTTTAATGGTGTATCTGTGATTCAATAAAAATAAAGTTTGGAAGGAAGGCATAATGATTCCTCCTGTAATCTCTCTCCTTATCTCCTTTTTATTAGGAATTCTTCTCAATTCTTGTGAAAGGCCCTCCCGTTGATCGTCGATTTGCTCTAGCGGGCCCAGTAACGTCTCCATTGGAGACTTTGTTGTTACTGTGTCTGGCATATCGAATACTCTCGGTAGCTTGCCGGGCTCCCGGAGAGGGGCAGAGGAATCGAACTCAGGTCGGCCACGTTGGCCGCGTGTAAAGCGAACGCCCTACCCGCTGTGCTATTGCTCCAGCCCGGGCGGAGGAATTGATAGCACAGCGGGTAGGGCACTCGCCTTACAAGCGGCCAACATGGCCGACCCGAGTTCGATTCCTCCGCCCCTCTCGGAGAGCCCGGCAAGCTACCGAGAGTATTGGATATGCCAGACACAGTAACAACAAAGTCTCCAATGGAGATGTTACTGGGCCCGCTCCAGCAAATCGACGATCAACGGGAGGGCCTTTACCTTTACCTTTACTTGTGAAAGGAATAACATTTACCTGTGTCTTAGCCAAGACTGAGCAAAATGTTTGTCTTCAAAAACGCAAACTGAGTCTTCCTCCTTCTTCACAAAACACATAGGTAGGGCATTTAAATAGAATGTATTTGAAACATTATCTCTGGGGGCCAGAGCAATAGTACAGCAGATAGGGCCTCTCCTTGCATGAGCTGACCTCGGTAAGACACCCAGCACCCCAGAGAGTCCCCCGACCTCGTCTAGAGTAAGTGCAGGGCTAGGAATAAACCCTGAGCACTGCTGGCTGTGGCCCCCAAACCAAACCAAATAAAAAAACAAATTATCTTTGTATGAATTTTAAACGGGCTGGAGTGATAGCACAGCAGGTAGGGCATTTGCCTTGCACGCGACCGACCCGGCCGACCCGAGTTCAATTCCTCCGTCCCTCTCAAAGAGCCCGGCAAGCTACCGAGAGTATCCCCCCGCACAGCAAAGCCTGGCAAGCTACCCGTGATGTATTCAATATGCCAAACAAAGTAACATCAAGTCTCACAATGTTACTGGGCCCACTTGAGCAAATCGATGAACAATGAGAGGACAGTGCAGTGCAGTGCTATAATGGCTATTTTAGCTAAGATTCTTTAAATGCTGATCTTTCCCAAATACAATTTTAAAGTTTCTACAACATCCCAAGGAGGTAGTATTCTCTTCCACAGAAGAAGCTGAGGCACAATAAGATTAAACAATTTGCCCTCAGTTAATCAATTAGTAAGGAAAAGAACTCAGATATTCAGAGACTTCAAAGAGACACTAATGCCTATATAACAGCCACTCCCATGTAACTTATGGTGTTCAGGGCTTACTTCTGGCTTTGTTCAAGGGTCTGTCCTGGTAGACTTGGAAGACCATCGGGGGTGTCAGGAATCGACACCCCTGTGCAAGGCAAGTGCACTACCAAATGTACTATCTCTCTGGCCCCTCATTTAAGAACAAACAAGATGCTTTTGTACTTCTTATGTGTACTTGATAGAACCAGATTTAATTCAAAAATGGCAGGGGACTTCATTCTTCTCCCTCAAATTTCTTGCTTTTCTTTTATAATTCTAATAAACTTTCTGATACCTTGACTAGACGCTCACTGTAGAGAATGTACACTAGCTGCTTTGTAACCTTCAGTCGGCTTCTGGGTCTAGCAGAGGTTTCAGACTTTAATTGAACTTCTCCTCTGTTTTCAGTCCCATACTTTGGATGGGACTGTCCTCTTGGATGCTCCAGAAGCAGATCCTTCTTGATTTTAGGAAAAAAATTAATTCCTATCATGGGACTCAGCAACAATTCAAGGAATGACAGATGGTCTCAGGAGAGACCTAGGATTATAAAGAGGTACGGAAGCCTGCAGGGAAGTCAGGCGTTCTGTCAACAGCAGCCGCAGTAGGAGGGACTTCTCTTGGTCTGGATGTCATATCAAGTCCAGAACACTGGTCTGTTTGTGTTGGAAGAGAGTGCTGAGAACCTGTCCACTGGATGCTGACTGGCAGAAAGACGACAGAAAGAAACACAGCCTTGGTAGCATCTGGGTGGCAGTATCCAGCCTTGATTGAGGTCTTATCCCCAAAGTGAAACTTTCAGTTTTGGGACCCGTTAATTTACAGCCCCTTACTTATTTACTGATACTACTGTATTCTGTCATAAACAATGGAAAGACTACTTAGTATGAAAAAATACTGAAATAAAGAAAGAGCAAAATGTAAGTCTACCATCCATATAGAGCAACAGAAGTTAAATTAAAATCTCAACCCTCTGCCAGGCCTGGAAATAGATCGAGGGTAAGAAAGCAGCCAGAGCACATTTGCTACAGAGCGTCTATTACAGTTACCAGAAAGGCTTATTCGAATTTCCACCAATAAGAAATGGGGGAGAGGAATGAAGAACTCCCCAGCCCCCTCTGAATTAAATTGGATTACAGAGTATCTAGAGAATTGTCTACGTGTCATAATAATTTTATTCGCTAAGCATATTGCTCAGGTTGTGGATCACATTCCTCGTGTGTTTGAAGTTCTCAGTTCACTCCCTGGGGGTCTTCCCCGCAGTCAGGTCTGAGAGCCAGAGAGTGGAACCTGTGAAATATTTACATCTAGGGTCTGAGCGATGCATCCAGAGCTCAAGGGTTCATGCCTTGCATGTACAAGGATCCAAGTTCAATGTCTGGCACAGCAGGACTCCTGAGCACTTCTGAGAGAGTGCAGCCCTGGTGGGCCCCTAGCACAGCCCAAATGGCAACTGGGCTGACAGCTCCATGGTGCTGGGCTCTAGTATTGAACCATCCAGTTTGTCTGATCCCGTCTGACCGGGAGTTGCCCTTGGGCCCCTGTCGAGTCAGGCCCCCGAAGTTACTTATTAATTTTATTCTTTCTTTATGTCTATAATAACCATAATCACTTATATATCACAGAGTATTTTATAAATACATATTAAAAAGTATTACATGATATTTTATCATATCTAGATACACATACAAATACATATTTATATTTGCAATTAATGCCTATGATTAAAACCTTCACTGACATTTACTTGTCACTTATAACTACTTAAAGCTACTTTTGGGTGAAAGATTTTGAAAGTATAATTAGTGGATTAAAGCATGAAAGTATTTTTTTTTTTGAAACTTGATGTGCTGCCAAACTACTTTATAAGAAGGCTAAGGCTGGTGGAGTGTAAAATTCCAGTGGCCGACTATGAGATCACTGTGTTTCATTTGTACAGACATTGAGCTTTTTCATGAGCAGTGGAAATACTGAGTCTCTTTAATATGCACTAATTTAATTACTGTTACTGCTTGGCATTCTCTATGACATACAATTTCTTTCTTTCTGAGTATGTATTCCTGTCTCTGCTACCTTTGCTACAGAGATTTTCTGGTGTGAACTTAGGAATGATAGGAACTCTCTCCTTTGCCTAATTTGTCAAATATTTCATCTGGGGTTTATTTAAACTTGGAATGCTTTTACTGTCTGGAAACATTTCAGTAATTCCTCTAAACTTTTATTGTTATTAAGTTTAGAAAGTCTTTTCATATCTAGAGATCACATATTCATCACTATTATTAGGTATTTTATGACAGTGCTTTTAAAAATGTTTCTGGACCTTATTATATGGTTCATAGTATGATATCAATCTTTTGTTCCAAATGGTGAACTATTTTATTATTTACTGAATAATCTTTATCTATTCCACTGACTTATGATTATCTCTTCTCATATATTAAATTACTCATAACAGTTTCACGTCCTTTTAATCAATCTATTTTTTCTTTTTTAACCACTTTATTTAAGTGTTACGGTTTAAAAAGTTGTTCATGATTATCTGTTACAGGCATTCAATATTCCAACACCAATCCCACCACCACTTTCACCTTCCTTTCCTCATTGTCTCCATTTTCTTTTTTGCTTTTTGGGTCACACCTGGTGATGCACAGGGGTTATTCCTGGCTCATGCACTCAGGAATTACTCCTAGTGGTGCTCAGGGTACCATTTGGGATGCTGGGAATCAAACCCGGGTCGGCTGTGTGCAAGGCAAATGTCCTACCCACTGTGCTATCGCTCAAGCCCCGTCTCCATTTTCTTAATCAACCCTCAAGCCTGCCCTTGCAGCAAGCCCACAATGATGATGAAAAAATACTACATTAAAAGAAAATTTATGGGGGCTGGAGTGACTGCACAGCTGGGCATTTGCCTTGCACGCGGCTGACCCGTATTCGATTCCCAGCATCCCATATGGTCCCCTGAGCACTGCCAGGAGTAATTCCTGAGTGCATGAGCCAGGAGTAACCCCTGTGCATCACCTGGTGTGACCCAAAAAGCAAAAAAAAAAAAAAAAAAAAAAAAAAAAAAAGGTAGAAAGAAAAGAAAATTTGTGAAAAATTTTGTAGCCCACTATGGAACATTAAGTCCGTGTCTGAGGGTTTACTAAGCTGTTGCTGAAAGTTCTTCTTTGTTACTTAGTTGGCTTCTGTGTCACATTTCTATTCAGTCTGCTCTGCTCCTACCTAATGGAGAGTTTGCAGATGTTATGTGGCCGCAAATGCAGTTACACACTCCAGATAATCTAGAAAATTTAATTGGGCAGTCTGGCCAGAGGCATGCTGGCAGCTGTTGGGGTGTGAGTGTGGCTGCAGGGGCATTGGCTGGGCAGACGCTGGCCAGCCCTGCTCTGAGGTTGGAGGTCTCAGCTGGCTGGGTATCCTGGCTAGTTGGATTTTATTACTCCTTGGAACAGGGCTTGTAGATGAGCTTCATGGCATGGTGGTGGGAGATGGGTGTGGCTGTTGGGGCTTCAGGAAGTACAAGGAGGTCTCCCATCCCCACTCTGAGAAGGCCTGGAGTTTTCAGTCAAACCCAGTGCACCTGAAATTTTTATAAGGTTAGCATCTCTGTGGAGCTTGGTTGTTAGGTAGTGGGGTCTGGTTGGAGGCGTGGCGGTGGCTGTTGGGGTATGAGTGAGACTGCTGGGGCTTTTGTTGGGCAGGAAGTTTGCCTACCCCTTCCCAAGACTGACCCAGAGGTCTCAGCTGAGACTGGGTATGTGAGAAATTCTTTTTTTTAAAATTACAACTGTTTATTTTTTTTCTTTTTTTTCCTTAAAATTTTATTAGTGAAACACCATGAGGTACAGTTGTAGACTTACAAATTTTTGTGCTTGGGTTTCAGTTATACAATGATCGAGTACCCATCCCTCCACTAGTGCCCATTCTTTACCATCACCAGTCCCAGTATCCCTCCCACCCCCCAGCCTCCCATCCCACCCTACCTCTGTGGCAGGGCATTCCCTTTTGTTATCTATGTGAGAAATTCTTGCAGCTAGTTAATCTCTTTCAAGATTCATTTATGAATCTCTGGAATAGGGCCAGTAGATGAGCTTACAGGTGATAGTGGTGGGACATAATCTGACTATTCTTGAGTCAATAAAGCTCATTATATTTCTAATCATTCTATTCCTTATTACTAAAATGATTTTTATTAATGATAGATGCAAAATGACATCCTACCAGCTATACTATCACTCTGGTCCACTTTTGGAGCTTTTAATGTTTTCTTTGATAATAAAGCAATATATATTTTTTGTTAAATTTTTTAAATTTCTAGACATTTTATATTAGTTGTTGCTTTAGAATCATTTGGATTTTGTTTGTTTGGGGGCCACAGCCAATACTGCATAGGGCTTACTCTTGGCTGTGTGCTCAGAGATCACTTGTGGTGTTGCTCAAGGACCATTAAGCAGGCATAATGCTATGCTGGGGATCGAAATAAATTGGCTGTGATGAAGCAACCACCCTAACCTCTGTACTATTTCTCCAGTGCCTGTTTTAGATGTCTTAAAACCTCCTAGCTGGTCTTTTCAGCAGCAACTGGAAAATCCTGAACCACTCGTCTGATTTAAGCAAATGAGGTCAAGGAACTGGAAAAACCACAGTGAACAGGTATTCTGAAACCCTGAGAGACAGTCTGTGTGGTGTCTTTGTAGTACCCTGGAGACAATGATTTCTACATGTAGTGATTTCTACACAACTTCTAGCCTCAACTATTTCTTCAACGTTTGCAATTGCACATTCCGTTATTTGTGATACGGATCAAGATGCGGCTCTGTGGCAGATCAGCCCTGCCAGTCTGAAGCCCGGGCCTGACCCTTGGCATAGTGATGTCCATAAGCACTGCTGGACGTGACCCCTTGAGCACTGCTGGGCATGCCTCGCACATCAAACACCAAAACAGACCATAAACCGCCACCACCCAATAAAAAGAAAAATGAAATAACCCAACAAACAAAACCCCCAAGCCTTTGAGGCCGACTCTTACCCAGAAAAAGACAGCACTTGCACAGAGGGTTATGCGTATACATTTCCCCCAGGTAGTAAAAGGAACACGTTCTTCTTCCTAACGAAAAGAAACAAACACAACTTTCAATCACTTAAGGTTTTAAAATAAGGAAATTAATTTTTCTTCTGACCTATCACTAAATCCTGTGTTTAATTTACTTTTTTACAATTAGTTTCAAACACTGCCCCCTTATTCATAGTTCCATTTTTCAGTAATTTCAAGTATACACTCAAAAAATACATATGCAGTATATGTTTCAATATAGTTAAATGCAAGCATGAATAACAAACTGCTTCTGTGCATGATCCAGGCTAAGGTGCTGCATCTAAGTCTGAGAATGCCAGGCTGTAAAGCTGCATTTCTTTTTTTTTTTTTTTTTTTTTTTTCCCCTTTATTTTATTTTATTTTTTTTAAAGTTGTAGATTTACAATTTTTTGTGCTTTGGTTTCAATTATACAATGATCAGATACCCATCCCTCCACCAGTGCCCATTTTCCACCACCATGAATAATATCCCTCCCACCCCCATCCCCCCATCCCCCCGTCTCTGTGGCAGGGCAATCCCCTGTGTTCTCTCTCTCCTTTTGGGTGTTGTGGTCTGCAAAAGAGGCATTGAGTGGCAAACATGTTCAGTCCATAGTCTACTTTCGACATGCATCTCCCCTCCTGGGAGGATCCTACAAACATCCTTTATTTGGTGCTCCCTTCTCTATCTGAATAGCCCTTTCCTCTAGGATACCCGGCTGGCCTCTAAGTTATGGAGTAATCCTCCTGGTGCTGATCTCAGCTAATCTTGGGTATTAATCTCATACTTTGTTACTTTATATCCCCCAGATGAATGCAATCTTTCTATGTCTATCCCTCTCTTTCTGACTCATTTCGCTTAGCATGATACTTTCCATATTGTACCACTTGTATGTAAATTTCATGACTTCATCTTTTCTAAGAGCTACATAGTACTCCATTGTGTAGATGTACCAAAGTTTCTTTAACCAGTCATCTGTTCTTGGGCATTCAGGTTTCTTCCAGTTTCTGGCTATTGTAAAGAGGGCTGCAATGAACAAACAAGTGCAGATGTCACTTCGACTATACATTTTTGCCTCTCTGGGATATATTCCCAGGAGTGGTATTGCTGGGTCAAATGGGAGCTCAATTTCTAATTTTTTGAGAATCGTCCATACGGTTTTCCAGAAGGGCTGAACCAGTGGACATTCCCACCAACAGTGAAGGAGTGTCCCTTTCTCGCCACATCCACGCCAGCATCGGTTGCTTTTGTTCTTTTGAATTTGGGCCAGTCTCTGAGGTGTGAGATGGTATCTCATTGTGGTTTTGATCTGCATCTCCCTGATGATTAATGATGTAGAGCATTTTCTCATGTGCTTTTTTGCCATTCGGATTTCTTCTTTGAGAAAGTTTCTGTTCATTTCATTGCCCCATTTTTGGATGGGGTTGGATGTTTTCTTCTTGTGGAGTTTAACCAGTATTTTGTATATCCTGGATATCAACCCCTTGTCAGATGTGTATTCGGTGAATATCCTTTCCCATTCTGTAGACTGTCTTTGTATTTTGGTCACTGTTTCTTTGGAGGTGCAGAAGCTTCTTAGTTTAAGATAGTCCCATTTATCTATCTCTGTTTTCACTTGCTTGGCCAGTGGCGTGGCATTTTTGAAGATACCATTAGCTTCAATGTCATGGAGGGTTTTGCCAACTTTATCTTCAATGTACCTTATGGTTTCTGGTCTGATGTTGAGGTCTTTAATCCATTTTGATCTTACTTTTGTACATGGTGTTAGGCAGAGTTCTGAGCCTATTTTTTTGCATGTAGCCGTCCAGTGATGCCAACACAATTTATTAAAGAGGCTTTCCTTACTCCACTTCACATTACTTGCACCTTTATCAAAGATTAGATGAGCATATGATTGAGGAGAGATGTCAGTGTATTCAACCCTGTTCCATTGGTCTGCAGTTCTGCCTTTGTTCCAGTACCATGCTGTTTTAATTATTACTGCTTTGTAGTACAGTTTGAAGTTCGGGAGGTTGATTCCTCCCATTTTCTTTTTCCCAAGAATTGCTTTAGCTATTCGTGGGGGCTTATTGTTCCATATAAATTTCAAGAGTGTTTGCTCCATTTCTTTGAAGAATGTCATGGGTATCCTTATAGGGATTGCATTGAATTTATACAATGCTTTCGGTAGTATTGCCATTTTGACAATGTTAAGTCTCCCGACCCATGAGCAGGGGATATCTTTCCATTTCCTCATGTCCTCTTTTATTTCCTGAAGTTAAAGCTGCATTTCTGAATGAATGCAGTGACAGCAGAGTCTACACAAGATGCTTTGTCACAAATGCCTACAAATATAGGTTTCCAGGGTGTGTGTTTTGAATTAATGCATATAATAATTTGTAAGAACCACAAAGTCTTCGTTTCCATTTTATAGTTTGTGAATTTATTTAAATTTTTAAGGCAGAAAAAAAAAGGAAAAAAATATAAGGGTAAAATAAGTATTAGTCAATATTTGCATGGGTTAAAAGAACAGTTATTATTCTGTGCCAGGTTCTATTCTAAGTAGTTTATATACTAACTTGATTATTCCTCACTATAGTTGTTTGCAGAATACAGAGCAACTCTATTATTTCCACTTATAGCTGAGGAAAAAGCTAAATAGTCTGTTCAAGATCATTTATCTAGTATCGTGTTTGGACTTTATCTCAGTCATATAGCTCCGTAACCAAACAGGTCTGTGTTAAACAATAAAAGAAAAATGAAGGGGAAAGTAAAAGAAAAATTAAGACTTGCTTTGAATTTTTTTAATAAGCAATGTCCTATAAAAATTTACTTATTAGTTGGCAGTTTATTTTATTTTCAATTTAATTTAATGTTTTGGAGCCACACTTACCAGTGTTCAGGGCTACTCCTGGCTTTGTTCTCAGGAATCACTCCTGGTGGGCTTAAGGGACCAAGCAGGTTGCCAGGGATTGAACTCAGATCAGTTTCAAGGTAAACTGTTTCTCTATGCTTCCAATAAGCTTTTGTTTTCCAGTAATCAAAAGGTACCGTGAGCATCTAATTTTTTATGTTTCAACTTCAGCAACACACACTTTGACCCCATTTTCCATAATTAGCAGTGGAAACTACTCATAATGGGGATTTTTTTGAAGCTTATTAAACTGTAAAAGACACATGTCACCTTCTGTTGAAAACAGGACCTTGTTTTTTTTCCATTTATAAAATAAGGAGGTTGAACTACTCCCTCTAGTCCTTTGAGTGTTGACATTCTGTAAACCTGTGATTCAATTTATAAAATCTATGGTTGGGGACATTTTCAGATGCTCAGAACTCATATAATTTCAGACAGTAAAAGCATTTTCTTTCCAAGAGATATTCATATTCAGCACTGACTGTCCTTATGTTAATGACTGTCAGTACAATCAGCCTGAATTTCCTGTGTTGATTGAAACAGTAATGCAGATAATTCAACAATCATCTTTTACTGCCTTTAGAATATTCACACAGAGTCATCCAGCTTTAGTTTTTATTCTTGCAACAGCAGTAAACAGTAGTAAATTCACCTTTCCAATTCTGTTAGATGCCTAACCCAGTGCCTATACATCAGTGAATCTCTACAAATATTTCCCTTTTGCTAGGTCTATCCTTCCATTCTCCAACTTCCGGTTGAGTCACCAGGGTGTCTGAGCGTGTGTATGTCCCGACCAGAAGGGGGAGCGGTGACTCAGGCCTAGTGTGAGACAAAGGAGCAACAGGCTGGGCTGAAAGGGGCTGGAATAATGAAGGTGCATGTGGAAAATTGAGAATTAACTATGAAAGCAGTGCATCTTTTCTTATACATCTATAACATGGAATCTAATTTTTTAAATCTTTTTTACTCTTGTCAGAAAAGAAAGGACATAAACCAGTGCATCTTAAAGAAATACATTTATACCAGAGTTTCTTTTTCATTTTATGTTTATGAAAGGGACCATTTCGGTCTCCTATATCCTTCTTTACCTTGGCTGTATGCAGAGAAGTTATTGGAGGAACATACACACACACACACACAGAAGTTATTGGAAGAACACACACACACACACACACACACACACACACACACACCCCTTCCCAAACAAAGAAACAAACAAAAAATGTGCCTAGAACACTCTCAAACAAATGCAAATACTTATCATTCTTTTTACCTGAGTGATCTCATTTATCACCACGTGAGTACACTGTGCTTCATATTCTGGCCGGGGTTGTTCCTCCTGCTGCAACTCAACTGTGTCCCATTCGTACTCAAGTTCTGCCTGGCGCCGCTTCCAAAACTCCAAAAATAAGGTAACTGAGAGAGGAGAGAAAGGAGAGAGGAGAAGGAGGGAGCAAGGGAGGGAGGGAGGGAGGGAGGAAAAGAAAAAGAGAGAGAGAAGAGAGAGCACAAACAGGATCTTGTGAACTTTCAATGATGATTTATGTTTCAAAAATCCGTACAAAATATACTGTCAAATCCATTATATTTTTACATGTGGTCAAAAAGTCTAATTTAAAGGTAAAACTAATATTGGAAAAAGGGAAAAATGAGGGTTTTTTTTGGTGTTGTTATTGAAGAACATAACTTATTCAGCTTGTGAAAACAACCTAAAGCTTATCAGACAGACTAATGCAACGGTCTCAAGGCAGATGCGTATGTCTGATGCTAAAGCATCTGACTGCAGCACTTATTGTCAATAATAAAAGATCCATAAATAACATAATTCAAAAACAATTTGTGGTCCACTTTCAGTCCTCTTTTTCCTACATCCCTTTTTCCTTGATGCCCAGAGAAGGATAATACAGCAGTCTCCAAATGTCTATTTACCATCATTTAAGCCATCCCAGATTAAGATAGTAATTTTAAATGTGGAAAACTGATTATTAGTCTTGTGTGAATAATACAACTTTAGATATACTTACTACTTTTCAAGACTTTTAACTTAAAGTACTAAATAAAAACAAATATGAGCTAAAAGTATAGCTCAGGGTAAAACCTATAGGCCGTTCTTCTAATTGGACTGCAACTAAATCCAGTAAAGAAACTCTGGAATTATGATGATCACACACACACATACACATACACACACACACACACACACGCACACACATACTGTGTGTGCGTGTGTGTGTGATAGATATCAAATCCAGGGACACATAAAGCATAAAGCATTGGGTTCTTCCACTAAGCTACATTGCCAAGCCCACAAATTTTCCTTTTTAACTTTCAACCATGTACGAAGAATAAAAACAAGTCAATTTTATTTTAAGAAGCTCTTGGGTGAGTGAACATCATCCTTAAGAGGTATTTATAGATGACAGTTAAAGGGACAGATAAAGGTAAGGGTAGGGTCCTCTGGGCTCACAGATTAGAACATGTAAACCAAAGGCTCTTGGACCGTTTTTCCAGAGGGGAGCTCTATGAAGATTGAGTTGAACAGGTGGAGGTGGACCGTTAGGCCATTTTCCCTCAGAGAATTGTGCAAATAAAGGCAAAGAGGCCAAAGGAGGTCAGGTACATTCCCAGAAAAGCAGTCTGGTGATGAACTGCAGGTGTGAATGAAGAGGCAGCCAGGTGGAGAGATCACAGAGACAGTCATACTAGGCTCTGTGCACCTCAGTGCATTTGACTTGGACTTCAAAGGGAGGAGACAATTATGCTTCCCTAGAGTAAAATAAGGCCACTTGAGCCTGATATCTGGAGGAAATCAAGGATGCAAGCCAGATTTCTAGTATGGGCGAGATCCCAAATTTCAGTGCCTTTGGAATAAGAGCAGGAAGAGAAGCAAATCTGAGAGGCAAACACTAATCAGCTACCTCTGGCAGGTAGAAGAGCTAAGTCTAGCAGGCAAGTCTAAAGCTGGAAAGCAGGAGAAAAATCAGGGCAGAAGTGGGAATTCCTACTGTTTAAATATTAACTGGGCTGCAAGTGGATGAGCTTACTAAGTGAGGTGTTCTCGAGAAGTACCTGCGAGCTTTGAAAGAACACTGAGTGCAGGCTCCACCCCCTTCATCACCAGAATAAAGAGAATCTGGCCCACAGTCCCCAGGCCTGGCAGCGGGTATTACACAAGAGGGAAAAGTTGGATGTGCTGACAATGAGCAAAAACTCAACGCCTTGCAGTGACACCATTTTCCAAGTGTGGGTTCTGACTACACTAACTTTCTGTTAAATGCGAGAGCAGAAATAAGCCAGATGTTGGAATCAAGTCAAAATCATGGTTCCAACCAGCTTTAGATACATTCCTACTGGTTAGAGTGTTTCAGCTTTCTGGGTCCTATTTCCTTCCTCAGGAAAATGAAATAGAACTGTCTCTGAAAAACTATTGTGAAATAAATATCATCAGTATGTAAAACCCTTATGACCCTCTGAAGTAATTGCCAAGAATCCATACCAGATATGAAGAAACAGAGACACATAAAGGGTTAAATACCTTATCACAATTATTGTACAGGAGTCAGGAATCAATCCCTAGCATTTTTTTGATCTAGCGCCCAAGCTTTTATTTACTAGGTGGGAAGCTAAGCACTCTATTCCTTGGATACAGAGGCAGAAGCGGATATAACTGGGTATTATTTACTGACATTCTCAGATCACCCAAATTCCCCAAGCCCTTCAAGCTAATGTGTGAACTATATGTAGCTGACCTGCCGCTCAGGTACCTGACAGCAGCTCCCTGAGCCCGTGCCTCTCTCCTGAAGCTGTGCACTCAACACCTCCTTCTCAGAGTCACTTTGTATTCTTGCTTGCTGCCCATAATCTCCAAAACTAGACCTCTCTGAAAGAATGGAGCATGGGCCCCACGCTGCATCAGCGCCACAGTCTTGCTGTCTCATCTGTGAGACCACAGCCATGTTGCTCAACAGTCAACAGGGAGCGCTGACTCTGGCAAAACTGCCTCATCATTTTTGGTCCTGCCCTTGCCTAGAGAGGAAACGTCATGAGGATCAATGAGATGAAAGTTTGGAAGGCATGCAGTAGAGTGTTGTAGATCAGGTTGCCAATGATTGCTACCACCTCTCCTGACCAATGCTGGTCTCACAATACTTCCAGAATAGACCCTTACTGGGAGGGATCTGGTCACTCTTCTTGGACATCTGGTCAACCCTTTTTGAACTGAGAATGAAGCAGCATGGAACATGTCACCTCTTTTCTCCTTGGTAATTACCCCCTATTCAAACAGAAGACCTTTTGAATCCGTCTAAATATTTTATTACCAATATGGCTGATACTATCATCAAATTTTTTTTTCTTGGCTTTTTGGGTCATACCCTGTGAAGCTCAGGGATTACTCTTGGCTCAGCACTCACTCAAGAATTACTCCTGGTGGTGCTCGAGAGACCATATGGGATGTAAGGGATTGAACCCAGGTTGGCCATTTGCAGGACAAACACCCTACCCACTGTACTATCATTCCAGCCTCCACTAAAGTTTTTTTAATCTATCTTTTTCTCGATAATTATGAAGTTATTCTGGTGGTGGGACACACTTCATTATCCAAACTGCCCTCAAATTCTGTGCTTCAAAACAAACACTCATGCATCCTACATCTGCATCTATTGGATGCATGAGTGTTTGTTTTGAAGCACAGAATTTGAGGGCAGTTTGGATAATGAAGTGTGTCCCACCACCAGAATAACTTCATAATTATCGAGAAAAAGATTTCTGGGTTATTTCTGCATCTACACTTATTGTTTAATCATGCCTCTGGAAAATCATCTTCACATGGCGGGGGGCCAGGAAGGAGGGGAGGGATTTTATTTTGTTCTCACTAGCATACAGTGGGCACTGAAGAAATATTAGTTGAATCTGAACTGTGGGGAGTCACTCCAGAGATGGGAATATTTCAACCCACTGGAGGCAGAATCATCTACTCAGGGTCTTTTGGTTCAACTCAACTCTCTGCAGAGCTGTCCACCTTTTATCATTGTTCTACCAGTCCACTTGGGCCTGGATAAACTGAGATGAAGGATAAACCATAGGGAGTTTTGCAGTTTATTGATTAGGTCAGAGCAGCTATAGCCCTTGACCACACAGTAGTTCAAAGCAGATAAGCTGAGTCATCATGTTCATATTCCTACCTCATAACTCACTTCAAGTCAGGGTCAGATGTGTTTCTAACAGAATGGAAAGGACTAGGGGAGGGCGTCTGATCTATTCAACTTCTCTGTAAGCCCAGACAACTAAAAGAGCTCTCTAAAACTTTATTAGATACCTTTCTTGTGGTTCAGTTCCATTAAAAAATTAATTCCTAATAAATTATTAGAAACGCAATGCATTTTAAAATCTTTTGCGGAAAAATCCTGTTTCTTCTCTGCAAAGCTACCTTTCATTTTCTTTCAAAGAAACAGCCTATTTTCATGCATTTATATCTTCCAATGTTATCTACTTCGAGATGAGATTGTGAAGGACATTGCAGCCCTGCTGTACTTGGCATATGTAAGTAGGCATAAATGAGATGAACCAGTACTTATCTCCTAGGACTGAGAAAGTAGGGCAGAAGCTTCCTGTTGCAAAATGAATCACCTGGACCTATGTCAGGTGAGGCAGAATCGAGTCCATGGAACCAATATTTTCTAATTCATTTCCAGTTTTCAGAGTCTAAGATAAAACATTGTAATTACATCAATCATAAGAAATATTTCTATATTTTTCTGAAAGTTTGCAATAAATTCATGAATACATACTGCATTCTGTCCATGATTGCCAAATTCTTCACAGATCTCTTATCCTATGCTTGTAATTTTGTCTTTGTGATTTTAGATAATTTTCCTAATCTTGCTGTATGCAATTTTCCTTGTATTTAAATTCAGAGCATAAGAGTCATTGATTTAATAAGTGTCAACTAACGGCAAAGGAAGATGATTTATGAAAATAACCTTGATTTTCTCATAAAAGACAATAAAAGCATAAAAAATGAACAGTAGACATGCTTTTTCTTTCTAAACTTGAACATAATAGAAATGCTGCAGTTTACATAATTCTGAACTTTCACAGTAGTTCAGCACTGTATGCACGTAAGAAATCACCTAGGAAAGATTAGTTGCTAGTAAATTCTCAGCTCTGAAGGTGAGAACATGGGAGTTTCAAGGATGGGTGGGAGCTTTTCAGTCCCTCATTTCACATAGTCTAGAACTTTCCAGTATCCATGGAAGGCATTGGTGACTTGCTAAAACCTTACCTAAAGTTTTAACATACACACACACACACACACACACACACACACACTGTTGTTTACATTGCTGTGTGCCCCACACTAAGAGTGTCAAGACCTGGGATGATGGTGTAAGATGTTAGACAATTATTTCCTGTCTGGCTCTTTTGATCTCTCCCCCTAAAATAAAACAAATTAGTTCCACAGGCAGCACTTAGACTTACATTCTTGGAAAAACACATAAGAAAGGACTCTAGCTGAGTCTTTCATATAATGTGAGAACATCTTTCATATAATGGAAGAAGATGGAAGGTTTCCCAGGACCTCAGCAATACTATGTCAATAGAAAGTATGCAGCAGAAGACGTCCACATTAAAATATGGATTCTGGTCAGTAATGGACTGATAGTTACAACAGGATTCAAGGGGAAAGGAATATTCTGATCCTGTCTAATGTATAAATTTGCTCAGCCTTGATCCCAACTTCCTAACTGAATACTTCAAGGTTAATATCACATTTTTTCAGATTCCAGATATGATTAAGCCCTAAGTTAAGGTTAAGGTTCCAGATATGATTTTTAAGCACCCATCATATGTAGAAGGCACTGAGCTCAATTCCTGGTACCATATGCCTTCCCCCAACACCACCAGTAGTGGTTCTATAAATTCTGAGCACTGATGGATACTCAAACACAACAAGAAGACGTACCTGACCCACCCTTCTGATAAAATTGCTACCCAATGTTTTCGAATGTCATGTAATTAGAATCCAAGAGGAATGGAAGCAAAGGTAAGAGCTATGTCATTTTTCTGATTTGGAACCAGCAGGAATGAAGTGTTGCAACAGTAATTTCTTGATTCCCAAATGCAGTTACTTGGAGTAATAGTTTCCTGGTCCTTTCCTGGCTCATTTCCCTGGTTCTTTATAAGATAGAATTTTTCTGGAAACCGGTAGGCTCAGTTTAGAACTGAGAGATAAAAATGAAAAATTTAGCATCCTGCTATTGAGAGTCTGGAGTCAGGAAGACTTTGTCAGAAATTACAAGAGATGGGCGGGGAGGGGGGTAAGGGGGGGGAGGAGAACATTAGCAGCTTTACTTGACCAGGAGCTGGGAGTCGTGACTATATAAGTTGGTATGAATGACTGCCAGGCTTGTCTAAGACGTGAGCACTTTTCAGGTAAGTAGACGATTTGTGCTGCATTTATTCTAAAGAGTTCCCCAAACTTTAACTTTTATACTTCCCAGAGAGCAGGAAAATACTCTAAGTGCCACATCCATCTAGGCAAAGAAGAGGAAGGACAGAAATGTGCTGTTAGTGATACGAGAAACTTCATAGGGGGCCCTGCCTTTTTCATTCTGCAATTTCAGACTTCGTATCATGGGGTTCACACCAGTTCCCATAAGCAGAAGAAAAAAAGCAGTAAGAGGCACTCGAAGGTTTCATCATATATACATATTCTTAAAGATAGACCATATGGTACTACAAGCAGTGATAAACACTCTCTGAATTCTAAAATCTGATGAAATAAAATCAGCAGCTCAACACGCTTAAGTTAGTTCTCTAAGCATAGTGTAGCTAACGATCACAGAAAGCAAGGTTCACTAGAAAATAAGACACTTGTCTCTCTGATTTGATAAATATATATATGATCAATTTAAAATGCATTTTAATTAGGATTATCAGCATCAATTAGCACCTGGAATTCAATAGGTGTGTCAAGAATTTTATAGACTGTGAATCAGTGCTGAGACTTAAGACGATGGTTTAAAGAGACTGCTTTTCTGGGGTGAAATGCTGATTTTATTTTTAAGGATGGATATATAGTAACGTATGAATTTTGTCTTTATGAATCAAATATGAGCCAGCGTTTGGTCTCCAGTCCTACCAGGCTAAATGTCTGAATGTTAATGTGATATTAAATAAGTTTGGTGTATTTTTATTGAAGAGTGACAACGAACAACTGTGAAAAGCATCTAAAATGATTGGAATGTCTGTTCTGCGACCCATTTGGTGACACTTTATAGACACAACTGCCGGCCGGAGAGAGTTTCTGTTTCCGGGAGTTGCATGTGTCATGTGTGCCCTCTCAAGAAGTAGAACTTGGGGGGCTGAAGTGATAGCACAGCAGATAGGACATTTGCCTTGCATGCGGCCCACCTGGGTTCGATCCCCGGCATCCTATACGGTTCCCTGAGCACTGCCAGGAGTAATTCCTGAGTGCAGAACCAGGAGTAATCCCTGAGCATTGCTGGATGTGACCCCAAAAGGAAAATAAATAAATAAATAAATAAATAAACTGGGTGTGACTCAGAAACAAAAATAAATATATAAAATTTAAAAAAAAAAGAAGTAGAACTTGGTTCTCTTCCCTCCCACCCACAGCCCCACCTATTTAGAAGCTCACGTTTATTTCCCCTTGACTTGTAATGGAATTGTAAATGGGTTTATTTCTGAAAATGGAAACGTTTTCTTCAGTGGCAGAATATTTATATCAATTAGTGATAGCACAGCGGGTAGGGCGTTCGCCTTACAAGCGGCCAACATGGCCGACCCGAGTTCGATTCCTCGGCCCCTCTCAGAAAGCCCGGCAAGCTACCAAGAGTATTCGATATGCCAAACACAGTAACAACAAAGTCTCCAATGGAGACGTTACTGGGCCCGCTCGAGCAAATAGACGATCAACGGGAGGGCCTTTAACTTTAACTTTAACTTAAGACATTTTAAGAAATGATAACTCATCAGATCATATTAATTATACTATTCAAAGCAAAAATAGTATTTTAAGAGTAGCACATACTAAATATTCACTCATATGAAACCAAATAGAGGAAGCTTATCTGATATCTTTCTATCAGCACTTTACCAGAGCTCCATTCCCGTGAAAGTTAGGCTGGCTCACAGCTCTGGGAGTATTATAGTGACGAGTCCCAGGGAGCCACGTGAATCCAGGCACGAAGGAGTCTTCCCGTATCTCTCAGTGTTGCTGGTCTAGGCAAGATGCTCTTCAGCGACCAGACATTCTCAAAGTTGGTGCAGCCATAGGTTTAAAAATGCCTTGTGTGGAAACTCATCCCTCTTGCTTCCCTTCAGAACTCTAAGACTACCAGATGAAGAACCTGATATAGTCACTGGAGGATGAGAGGCCATGTGGTACAGATGAGACGGAGGTTGTTTTTTTAGGCAGTAAAAGCTGATACAGTGACTTTAGAATTACAGAGATCTGACAGAACAGAAGCTTATGCAATCTATGGTTGGAAATATGGGTTATTCTGACAGCTTACACGAAACTATGTAATGATATTAAGTTGGATACTTGTATGATCTTAGGGTACATTTTAGGTTCAAAAAAAACCTGAAAAAAAATGAAAATAACTTACCCCAAATCCCCATAAATACAGCAAAGACTAGAGTTCCAAAACTGTCGAAGATGCACAATTTCTGGAAAATACAATAACAACATATAAATGAATCCTGTTCTCCACTTACTATAATTCAACAAATATGCAATCCTTTAAGTGTTTTACATTATGAATTTCTTTTTAAAAACTGATACCTAGTTTAATAATCATACCCACAGAGAGATAAAATTTCTTATTCTTTGGAAAACAAAAATATTCCTTATTGTTGCCAGAAAACATTTTCCAAAAAAATACTTCCAAAGCACAATAAAAAAGAAAAAGAAATAGTTATATCTTCTAAAATTCTAAAAGTGTGTTTAAAACCTCTAACACACTTGTGAACAATGAGTTCTTTGAATGAATTATAACATTTAATCTGAGGCAGCAGAATGGCAACGAATCCCATCCAGATCAGAGAATAAGTTCTTGGATTACTGTTCTTTCTGTAAAGAGAATTTCCAAGCTGAGGTTTACCTAAAATGCCTCTCACTGGGGACTGAAGAGAGCTCAGAGGTTATGGTTCTTTTTCTTTTTCTTTTTCCTTTAAGGAAATTAAATTTTTAATTCTTATTTTTTTTATTTTAATGAATCATTGTGAGATACAGTTGAAGATTTACAAATTTTCGTGATCATGCTTCAATCAAACAATGTTTGAGTACCCATCTCTCCACCAGTGCCCATTATCCACCACCAATGTTCCCAGTATCCCTCCTGCCACCCCCACCCCTTCCCACCTCCTGCCTCTGTGGCAGACACATTCCTTCTTTCTCTCCCCCTTTGGGTGTTATGGTTTGCAATACAGGCACTAAACAACCATCATGTTTGGTCCATAGTCTACTTTCAGCACGCATCTCCCATCCTGAGTGATCTCTCCAGCCATCATTTCCTTAGTGGTTTCTTCTCCATCCCACCTGCCTTTTCCCCCAGCACATGAGACTGGCTTCCAAGGTTCTTAACAAGAGTGTGGTTGACCCTGGTTCAGTCCCCTGAGCACTTCTACAAGTAATCCCTGAATACAGAGCCAGGAGTCATTTATGAGAACCCCTGCGAATTATGCTGATGTTACAAAAAAACAGTGATCAAGGATGAATGAATGACAAAACTGCATAAAGAAGGCTCTCTTCTAGTTCTGCTAAGTTCCATCTTTTAAATAATATATAAATAGCCTATTTCTGAATCCCTGGAGAATATTTCAATCAGTTACTACATTTTTATTAGTGAATATTTTAACATTTCTTTTAAAAATGTAAAAAGCTGGGCAGAGAGATAATACAGAGGGATGGGTGCTGGCTTTGCATGTGGACCTCGGTTCTGTCCTGGCATCCTATATGGTCTCTTGAGCCCTGACAAAAGTGATCCCTGAGTGCAAGCCAGGCATAAGCTCTGAGCACTTCTGGGTGTGGCCAAGAAAAAAAAAGGCAAAAAGGTAAAAAGCTAAAGGAAAAAGCCGCAAGTGAATTAATTAAACATCAATTCTGTGACAAATCAATCATTAGAAGAGTAAATCTATAGGTACAAAAAAGTGAAAGAAAACTCAAAGCTACTTCTAGGAAAAACGATTATGTCCTAGATAACTTCTAGGGTTACGATGCCTAGGAGCAGTATGTGGGGTGGACTGCATGCAAGGCAAGCACCTTACCTCCTTCCTATACACCTGTACTATCTCTCTGGCTTCTGGTTATACTTTTGTAAAAAAATACTGATCTAACCATCTTTTCATACATTTGTTCCCCAAATTATGTAGATTTAGCCCCTCCCACCAAATTATTTATATAACTTCTGAGTGAAAAAAAATTATGCCTCTCAGAGAGCCCGGCAAGCTACCAAGAGTATATCCTGCCTGCACGGGCAGAGCCTTGGCAAGCTCCCCACGGCATATTCAATATGCCAAAACCAGCAATGACAACAGGTCTCATTCCCCTGACCCTGAAAGAGCCTCCAATCATTGGGAAAAGATAAGTAAGACAAGGCTGCTAAAATCTCAGGGCTGACGCACATGCTGAGGGAGAAGGCAGCTCAGATAGAGAGGGGAGCACCAAGTAAAGGATGTTGGGAGGATCCTCCCAGGATGAGAGATGCATGCTAAACATAGATTACAGACCGAACATGACAGCCACTCAATGCCTCTTTTGCAAACCACAGCACCCAAAAGGAGAGAGAGAACAAAAGGGAATGCCCTGCCACAGGGGTGGGGTGGGATGGGGGGTGGGGGGGGGTGGGAGGGATGCTGGGAGCATTGGAGGTGGGGAATGGGCACTGGTGGAGGGATGGGTACTCGATTATTGTATAACTGAAAGCCAAGCACAAGTTTGGCCAATGCTAGGGAAAAAGGCAGCTGAGATAGAGAAGGGAGCACCAAATAAAGGGTGTTGGGAGGATCCTCCCAGGATGGGAGATGCATGCTGAAAGTAGACTATAGGCCAAACATGATGACCACTCAATACCTCTTTTGCAAACTACAGCACCCAAAAGGAGAGAGAGAACAAAAGGGAATGCCCTGCCACAGAGGCAGGGTGGGATGGGGGAATGGGGGTGGGAGGAATACTGGGATCATTGGTGGTGGAGAATGGGTACTGGTAGAGGGATGGGTACTTGATCATTGTATAACTGAAACCCAAGCACAAAAATTTGTAAGTCTACAACTGTACCTCATGGTGTTTCACTAATAAAAAGTTTAAAAAAAATTTTAAAAAAATCTCAGGGCTGAGAGGAATAGAGACGTTACTGGTACCCACTTGCGTAAATCAATGAACAATGGGATGACAGTGATATAGTGAGCAAAAAAAGCATAATAGCATATTTTATGTGTACAGTCACCTCTCAACCAACCAAACAAACCAAAAAACACCCCAGTTTAGAGACAGATTTAATGAGTGAGTGAGAACACTAGGGATGGTGCTCATTGTCAAGAGCTCGAAGTCTCAGGCTCCGGAGCTTTTAGTTTTGGCTATTAAGGAACCATCTTCAAGTTGTCCAGCACTGAAAATTACTGTAAGAAAAGTTCAGTAAGCTGGCGATGGAGCCGTGATTGATGACGTGTTTTATATGTGTGAGTCTCGGTTTGGGCGAGGTCTACAGCTCTGAGGAAGAGCACTTACCTTGCACATGCGAGGCCAGAGTTCTCTTCCCAGTCCGCAACAAAACAAATAAAAAGATGCCCTGGGTTTAATCTCAAACACCAAAACCAAGTTTTAAAATAAAAGTCTGGGGGGGGGGGGGGGGGAAGTTCCACAAAAAACAGTACTCTACATTATTATGCTACTACTGAAGTTTCTGTCAAAGTCACTCTACCTTCACAATGAGTGCAAAACGCTCTCTGCAATTTATGCTTTTTAATTTTGCCCCATTGCAGGTCTCACTGGCCTCAGGGAAAAAAAAATCCTATGTGTAAACACTTCACCATGTTATACTAAGTGTATGTCAGTGGAAGAGTAGTTTATCAGTGCAGGAAGGGCAAAAATGCTTCCAGAAGCAAAACCATGTTTACTGCTAATGCCAAGACGAACTTAGATGCTTGCTGAAGGCCAAGGCCGGGACCTGCTGCCCAATAAGAGGGAATTAAGTGGCTAAGCGAAGTTACCATTTTTCCATACTTGTGACATCATGTTACAAAAAAGAATAAGCTGGATGCAGACATCTCTGCTCTGTGTCCCCCACAAGTGACACGGAAGCAGGAAGTAGAGGGGACGGTCCACCACGGGCTTCCCTGGGAACACAGCAGGGAGGGGGAAGTTTCTTTTAGTTGCGAGGGGCAGGAAAGAGAGTTGCTGATGCAGGCTTGATGATTTGAAGCAGCCAACAAATCAGAATCTAGAGCTAGAGCTATTTGCTATGGCTTCCTGCCAATAAACAAAATAAAAACTTATTTAAAATAAAAAAAACTTGTCATGTTTCCCTTTATCTCGCCAAAGAAGCATTTTTCATGTTCAATTACAAAGCAGCATTAGTTGTGATTATTTCTATAAATGCTTCTTGATCTTCATAATACATTTTTTTTTTTGCTTTTTGGGCCACACCCAGCGATGCTCAGGAGTACCTCCTGGCTCTGCACTCAGGAATTACTCCTGGTGGTGCTTAGGGGACCATATGGGATGCTGGGGATAGAACCCAGGTTGGCTGCGTGCAAGGCAAATGCCCTACCCACTGTGCTATCGCTCCGGCCCCATAATACATTTTTATGCCTAACTTGTCAACACTTTAAACTTACATGTCAATTGGTGATACTCCATCTCTTCTCTAAGGAGTATGTATAAACGAACATATGTATGTAAAAATAAATGACTTAATTAATGAACAGACAGCATGAAAAATTATTCTCTTTTTTTTCCCCTAACATTTCCCTGTTTACTTCTTTTATTCATTTGTCAGTTTCCTCCCATCAGCAATATATTCTGACAAGAGATGTGGAACCCTTGAGAAAACCTGAATAGAGTCAAAGATTTGTTTCTTAAAAACAATGAAAGATATGTCATCTTTGTAAACCATGGTGTCTAAATATAGTAGCACTGTAGCACTGTCATCTCACTGTTCATTGATGGAGACGTTACTGGTGCCTGCTCGAGCAGGCTCCAGTAACATCTCCATTTAAGATTTGTTACTGTTTTTGGCTTATCGAAAACGCCACGGGGAGCTTGCCAGGCTCTGCCGTGCAGGTGGGATATTCTTGGGAGCTTAAATATAGTACTAAAAAAAAAAAAAAAAAGAAAAAGAAACAGGACAGGAAAAAGCGTGTCACCAAAACAGGGAAAATTTTGAAAGCCTTGTGCTTAAGAATAGGAAAGTGGAGCAGGAGGAGAGAAGAGAAGCACTTGGATATGCAACCGAGAGAATTTCTTATGGAAAACAGAATTTCTGGCTGAAGTGATAGCATAGCAGGTACGATGTTTGCCTTGCATGCAGCTGACATGGCCGACCGGAGTTCGATTCCTCCGTCACTCTCCGAGAGCCCGGCAAGCTACCGAGAGTACCTTGCCCGCACGGCAAAGCCTGGCAAGCTCCCCGTGACGTATTCGATATGCCAGACACAGTAACAAGTCTCACAATGTTAGTGGGCCCACTCAAGCAAATCGATGAACAACGGAAGGACAGTGACAGTGACAGTGACTCTGTTGGAGGCAACTTGCCCATTTTCTTTCTCCTATGGAGCAGTGCCCAGGGGCCACTCCTGGAGGTGCTGGGGACCGTCCGTGGTGCCAGGGCTTGACTAAGTGGTCACTGCACACGAGGCCAGCGCCTCCAGCCTTGGACTCTCTTGGGCACACCTTCAGCAGTGGCGTCCAACTTCATTCAGTGCCATGTAAAACGAGGGACTGGGAGGGCTGAGTCTCAGAGGAAGGCAACCTGCTTCTGACTAGTCTCAAGCCCTTTAACGTATGATCTATGACAAATATTTAGTCTAGAAATTGTGTTGGCTTGGGAGTATGCATCAGTTAACCTACTTTAACTAATTAAATTATGTGTGAAAACTCCTGGTTGACAATACCGCACAATTATCTTAACTAAGTGGTGGGGGAAAAAAAGCCTTTTAACCAGAGGGCTCAATTTGAGCAGTGTTTGGTATGACTCTCACTGTTGAGTTACACAACAATAGCAAGAAATACAAATTCATATTCAATTCTGGCTTTGTCTTTCTTTACTAGAAGGTGGCTATGAGCAAAGGACTCCATTGCTCAGATCTTCGGTATTTTTAATCTGCAAAACAGAGATAATTCCTGTTCTATCTAGCTCATGAGGTGTAAAGAAATGTTCTGTACAAGAAACTTGCAAGGAATAAAATATAAGGTGACATTACTATAATAACAATGAACTCAAAGACTGACATTGAGCAGATCACAATATTTTGAGCTAATATTAAGTTTCCTAAACTTATATGCGGAACAAGTGGTAGACAGAAATGGTTATAAGTGAGAACTACCATAAGTCAAAGTTTAACATCTCTCAGGTGCACGCTCACCGTATTATTTTTTGAGGTGTATGGTGGGGAGCTCATGGGGGTGGTGGGTCTGCTCAGACATTACACTTAGTGGTGCCTGGGGAATCATATGTGGTGATGGGGATCAAACCAGGGTTGGCTGTCTATAAAGCAAGCACCTTATCCCATGTACTATCTCTCTGGCCCCCAATTTCTTTTTTTTTTTGCTTTTTGGGTCACATCCAGATATGTACAGGGGTCAGGGGTTACTCCTGGCTCTGCACTCAGGAATTACTCCTGGTGGTGCTCGGGGGGCCATATGGGATGCCGGGGATTGAACCCGGGTCCACCGCATGCAAGGAAAACACCCTACCCCCTGTACTATCGCTCCCTCCCCTCCTTCCCCAATTTCTTTGTCTATTCCCTGGAACGACTTTCACTGAGCTGTCTCTAGTCTCAATGCTTGCCCTGAAATGCACAAATGTTGAAAGAAAGTGAGTATCATGGTTTATATGAATAAAATCTTTCTGTGATATTGACTGAAAGTCTTCATCTGACAGGATGGTCATTGTCAATCCAAGTGCAGTTTCAGCACACTTTCACAGTGGGAAAAAAGCTGACATACAATTATCAGACTTTTTCTCAGGAGTCAACAAAAGCATTTCAGGGCTGAGATGACAGCTCAAAGGATCTGAGTGAATGCTCTGCCTGGCAGGACCAGAGTCTATCCTCAGAGTATTTCCAAGAGTGATCTTTGAGCACCACTCCTGAGCACTGAGCTGGGAGTAGTAACCTCTCAGTGCTACTGGTATAACACAAAAGCAAACACACAAAAGATATCTAAAATAATAATACACTTGAGGCCTGACAAGATACTACCATGAGTAGGGAACTTATCTTGCACACAGCTGACTGGGGTTCAATCCCTGGAATCCCATATGGTCCCCCAAGCCTGCCAGGAGTTATCCCGGAGCAGAGCCAGGAGTAAGCTCTGAGCACAGAATCGAGAATAAGCCCTGAACACTACTGGGTATGCTCCCCAAACCAATAAATAAATAAATAAAAGTCAATTTATTAAATAATATTTATGAGGCAAACTGGTTTAAGATTTCTGCTTTGATTACTGGAAAGACTCTGCAAATTTCAATTCCATCATTTCTCACCTCCAGGATATTTCTGATCTCTGATTAGTTATAAAAGAAGAAACCAAAGAGATGGAATAAGGGTGAAGGCTCTTATCTTGCTACCCTGATTGAATCCAAGGCACCACCTGGGCCTAAGCATTGCGGGGTACAACCTTGGAGACCCCCTGACCTGAGCATCACAGGATACATTCCTGGAAGTCCCAAAGCACCATTGGGGTGGTTTGAGTGACTTCTCCATGCCAGTGACTCTCACAGAACCATATCCTCAGACCCTCCCGCTGAATCTATAGCCTGGCTGTTGATGAATAGTAGAGAAGAGCCCTGGGACTTTTGAGCACCACAGGAGAGAAGCTCTCTGCTGCCCCAACACATATACAAATCACTCACTGTCCTCCCGTTGTTCATCAATTTGCTCGAGCGGGCCCAGTAATGTCTCCATTTTGAGACTTGTTGTTACTGTGTTTGGCATATCGAATACGCCACGAGGAGCTTGCCAGGCTTTGCCGTGCGGGCGAGATACTCTCGGTAGCTTGCCAGGCCCTCCGAGAGGGGCGGAGGAATCGAACCCGGCTCAGCCGGGCTGGCTGCGTGCAAGGCAAATGCCCTGTGGCTATGCTATCGCTCAGCCCATATATACAAATAACGAGGAATAAACATGTATTCCACCTCTACCTTTCAGAACTCCTCAGGAGGAAAATTAATTTTTATGTTGTACTGAAATTCTCTAAAGAAAAAAATCTTTCATTGGTTGCATGTATTTGGAATAAAAAGAAATTACCTTTGAGGATTCACAAGTAATATTGAGTTTCCAGAATGGACAAAGAACATCACACTGTGGACACATTATTATCTTGCCACCAATCTCAGGATCACAAACTTCTTTGCTAAAAGAAAAATAGAGTTCAATTAAAAAAATCTTAATGATAGTATTTCCTTTCTATAAGCATGATAATATTCAACATCCATGCATATTTTTTAAAAAAAAAAAAAACCTGGGCTGGAGAAGTAATACAAAGGTTAAGGTGCTTGTCTTGCATGGTTGGCTCCCTGGCACCATTTATGGTTCCATGAGCACTACCAAGAGTAGTCCCTGAGCACTGCCAAGTATGCACAAAAATCAGCCCAAGCCCCAAGTAAACACTCTCAACACTGCTGTTCTCATCAGCAGGAGTGGGAGAAGGGAGGAAAGAGGATTCTGGGTACCACTTGGGTTCATTTTGCAATGTCAGGAATTGAAGCCAGGATCTTGTAACCCTGGTCCCTAAACTGAACTTGATAAAATAGGAATAGAAGTAAACTTTTAATTCATTAAAAAATTGAGGTGGGTGGGCTACCCCTGGCTATGCTCTAGGATTTCCCCTAAACTGTGAGCAAGGTCAGTCCTACTATTGTTCAGAATACTCTATAAAATGCACTGGATTCAACCTGGACTGGCAAGCACTTACCCCACTGCGAGAAGCAAATGTTATTAACTTTATATTGCCAAATATATGAGGAATAAAAAAGTTAGGAATTTTTTATAGTCCTTGTACATAAACACAATCTGTAGCATTTTTCAATTAATGTAGTATAAGATATAATAAAATTAATTGAAAATACTTTAAATGCTGTATTTTAAATATTTAGTAAGGTAAGGTAAGGTAATGGTAAAGGCCCTCCTGTTGATTCGTCGATTTGCTCGAGCGGGCCCAGTAACGTCTCCATTGGAGACTTTGTTGTTACTGTGTCTGGCATATCGAATACTCTTGGTAGCTTGCCGGGCTCTCGAGAGGGGCGGAGGAATCGAACTCAGGTCGGCCATGTTGGCCGCTTGTAAGGCGAACGCTCTACCCGCTGTGCTATATATAATAAAGCCCAAATAGTTTGAACTTAGGGACTATGTCCCAGTTTTCTCTATATTGATTTGTGTGAAAGGAAATATACGAATTACTTCATAAAAATGCAAAGTATACCTCGTGAGAGTCTATTTTAGAGATAACTTTTCATTTTTAGCTAGAAGAATAAACAATATGATAAAAAAAAAAACAACCCAAAGACAAACTCAGCTAAATGGAACGAACATTCGGCAACCAGGATAAAAAGACACACAAAAGGGGCTGGAGTGATAGCACAGTGGGTAGGGCGTTTGCCTTGCACGCGGCTGACCTGGGTTCGATTCCTAGCATCCCATATGGTCCCCTGAGCACCGCCAAGGGTAATTCCTAATTGCAGAGCCAGGAGCAACCCCTGTGCATTGCCGGGTGTTATCCAAAAAAAAAAGAGGCAGGATGCTATGTTTGGTGCTAGAAAGTTAGTCAACAGCTCATTGCTGGTACCCAGAGATTTCAATCTATTAGGCCTAGATACAGACAGATGGTCAAGAGAAAATGGCTCTTTCTGAAACTACTCAAAGCAGAGAAATAACACACAATTCAGAATAGTGAGTAAAAGCAGAGATTTCTGGACCCCATGTATACTTCCTTTTGGACAGTGCAGCTGGTATTTGAATTCTAACCTCACAAACTAGTTCACCATTATGCCCCCAACCCTGCCCAAACATTGCGAGGGTTAGTTAAGAAAAATTATTTTAAAAACAAGTACTGTTTACTTGAGTTTTAAAATACATATTTTCCTTAATAAATAATGAGAAGTCATTTCTGAAAACACAAAACACCAATCTTCCACATTCTGTCAAATAAAACCCTAAAGAAATCAGAGCTACTCTTGGCCCATATGCACAGGGCTGAGTAGAGCATTCCTCTTGGGGCCAGAAGTTCAAGAAAAATTCTCCATCCTTTTTTTCCTTTTTCAAGCAAAGCATTGTCTTAAAATAGTGGAGTGTTTCTGAGAGGCGATATTACTGTTGTACTGTCGACAAGACTGGGCTAAATTATATAAGGAAAACTTTTTCCATTTTGTTTAAAACTCAGAGATAGAGAAAGGGTGACATATCATCTAAAGCAGGAAGTGGTCTGCAATGAGTCTTCTTTCACTGAGATGTTCTACTCCAACTTTTTGGGATGATACTGAGAAATAAACCGAGCTTACCTCCAGGTACAGTTATTTTGATTGAGATATCCGTAGAGAAAGCAAGCCACTCCTACTATGGCTGCGAAGAAGAGCATCTTAGTGTAATAGCCCAGCCAAGCGAAATAGATGCCAATCTTCTCTCCGTAGTATTTCCTGAAGGACAGGGATCAGATTTAGGAAGCAATCCTCTGCAGCTTCCTTGTAATATTAGTTTCTGACGTTAAATAAAGACTGGAAGCTTAAACCCTTGGCTCGACTCACACTTAAAACATCCACTCTCATGAAAGACCCAAACTTCTACTACAAAATAAATACTAGGGACTGGAGTGATAGTACTGTAGGTAAGGTGCTTGGCTTGCAAGAGGCCAACATGGGTTCGATCTTTGGTATCACACATCGTCCCCTGTGCATATCCAGGAGCGATCCCTGAGCACAGAGACAAGAATAAGCCCTGTGCATTACTGGGTGGTTCCCCCCTCAAAAAAAAAATGTATTAGACATATGATAGAAGCGTTGACCATAGGTCAACCCTTTGGAGCAGAATAAATTAAAATAGAGGAAACAAAAATGCTACTATAGAACAAATGAAGTATCCATATCATTCTCTGTAAGGACTGGCACATTTACACCATTTTAAATAAATTATTCTAAATATACATAAAAATGTACATGAGCACCCTGGTTACGTACTTTCTCCGATCCAGGAAATTTCCAACAGGAAAACAGAATGCAACTCCAAGTAATGGGAAGGAAGGAAATCAATACTAATAATGACTAGTAATTTTTTAATTTAATTTTTCATCTTTTAGAAGCCACAGCTGGGGTTAGTTTTGAAAAGTAATGGAGGGGAGGGGGGCAGGACAATAGTACAGCATGTAGGGTGCCAGCCTTACAGTACGCTGGCCAGAACTCAATGCCCAGAACCATACGGTTCTTTGAGTTCACCAGGAGTGATCCCTGGGTAGAGAGTAGGAGTAAGCCCTGAGTACGGCAGGGTATAGCCCAAATAAGAAACAAACACGCAGCCTAAAAAAAAAAAAAGAAAAAAAAACCTCCCCCCCCAGAAGAAACCCTAACCAATAATGTACTCCATCCCACTTCCTCCTGCTCGCTTTCTTTGCTTTCTCTTGCTTTCCTTTCTTCCTTCCCTTTTATTCTCCTATCTTTTCTTCTTTGGGTTTTGACCACACCTGGTAGTGCTCAGGGAATAGTCCAGGTGGTGCTCAGGGATCAAACTTGGGCCAAACAGTTACAGAGCTGTTCATGACTGAGTTTCAGTCTACAATGTTCCAACACTCATCCCTCCACCAGCGTACATTTCCCACCACCCAATTTCCCCCGTTTCCGTCCTATCACCCCTTACCCCCACCAGCCTGTCTCTATGGCAGGTGCTCTCTCACTCTCTCTCTCTCTTCCCCTACCCTCCCCCCTTCTGGGCATTATGGTTTGCAATACAGGTACTGGGAGGTTATCATATTTGTTCCTTTACCTACTTTCAGCACACAGTTCTTATCCAGAGTGATCGTTTCCAACTAGCCTTGTCGTAGTGGACCCTTCTCTATCCCAACTGCCTTGGCCCCAGCACTTGAGGCAGGCTTCAAACTGTGGACCAATCCACCTGGCCCTTGTTTCTACTATCCGTGTACCAAATTATGTTTTTTTAATACCCCACAAAAGAAGACAAACCTTTCCATGCCGGAGCCTCTCCTAACTCATTTCACGCAACATCAAAACACCGATTTTAAAAGAAATCAAATAAGTAAGTTTTTTTGTTGAAATGAAGAAAATAAATGTAATGAGTTGGGGTGCAGGAGTGAGATAAGAAATGCCTTTAAGTAGGTTACTGGACTAAGGCTTATATAGTAAAAAGAGCTAGCATTTTAAGAATTTCAAAGAAGTTATTCAGGTATAGGCCCTCCCGTTGATCATCGATTTGCTCGAGCGGGCCCAGTAACGTCTCCATTGGAGACTTTGTTGTTACTGTGTTTGGCATATCGAATATGTCACGGGGAGTTTGCCAGGCTCTACCGTGTGGGCGAGATACTCTCGGTAGCTTGCTGGGCTCTCGAGAGGGGCGGAGGAATCGAACTCGGGTTCGGCCATGTTGGCTGCATGCAAGGCAAACACCCTACCGCTGTGCTATTGCTCCAGCCCATTGGAGTAGCTAATATATGGTTATTGAGAAAATACAACCAGGGCAAAAGAGAAAGAAAATTATGAGTACAGGGTTAAAAGTGAATCAGGAGCATGGAAAGAAATTTAGACTTAGGTGTGTGTGAAGCAGTTATGATATTTTAAGCATTTCAGTAATTTTATCTCATCCACTTAAAATTCTTTTTTTCAATTTTTGGTTTGGGGGCAACCCCAGTGATACTCAGGGGCTGCTCTCTGCTCCTTGGTCACTCCCAGTGTTGCTGGAGGGAGTGACACAGGGATCAAACTTGGGAGAAGGTCCCTGGTTGTCAGTCCTCTGAGAAACGTCCCACTTCCATGTCCTGAGGGCAACCCTAAATCTTTCCTACCCTGAAACTGCACTACCCAAGTGCTCTTTACAACATACCTGATGAGATCCAAGGGCTGTTTTTTGTAGATGCTTCGGGGATGCGCCCATTCTCTGTACAGAAGGTACCGTTCACTTGGGCATGTGGGGTCCTCTGATGGATGGCTGAAGTTGCACTGGGACGCAGAAGAAGGCAAGAGAGCAACACCGTCACCATGTGTGGACAACTTTTATTAGATGTGGTACCAATACTCTATAGACAATTGTACATGTAAATAAAGGCCCCACATTTGCTGGAAGGGATGGAAATATCATCAAATTTTAGTAATTCTCAACCAGAGATCTGACTAACCCCAAGTGGGCCATCTGTGAGTGTGAGTAGAGAAAATCAGCTGTTCCAAATTTGGGGGACACTTGCAATTTTCTGTTCTCCTATATTAGAACCAGACTCTGAAGGCTGGTCTTACATGGTCTCAACCTCTGCTTACGGTGCTTCCAAACAGCACCTGGGCTCACTTCTTAGCCTGGGAACACTGCACTTAAATGAGGCTTTAGCGGAAAAGAACTAGGACTGGGGAGATGTAAAATGAATATTATAGCACATTGGCATCCCAGATTAATATCTATGATAGGTATTTTCCAAGTGTTCCCAAAGTTGATGTCCTGCTCTAACTGCTAATTCGTGCTCAGGAGCAACATAAAATCAAGGATCCTCTGATTGGAATGTGATGCACCTTTTGAAGACGTTTGGTCAGTATTCCCATTTACTCTGCTGTCCATTTCTGCACGTGTAATGATTATCAGGCAATTTTCAGTGTACAGGTATACACTGAAATATATAGGTATAGGCATAGTATGCTATGCCATGTATTTCAATAGTGTTCATCCACGAATATTACATGGTCTAAATGTACTACAGATACTACTACATATGTAATCCAGTTACAAGTATCAACCTCAATCTTTGCTTTCTTTGATCTTAGAAACTGAGATAAATTGATAGTGAATGAAACAAAGTAACAGTGCAATAAAACAGTGCAATATAACACAGTAAATATTTCAGTACAGTCTACTTAAATAGCTTAGATATACTTTCTCAGAACTTATGAAATGATTAAGGGTCTGAAGCAGTCACATTAAAAATTTTTATTTCATGTGAGCTATCAGACAAGTGCTCTTGAGTTGAGGAGTTGCTGTCATTTCAGAACACAGACCTTGAAAACTGTCAACACTCTGCCATATTACCATTGTGACACTAACCCTGGCAGATGCCTTCCTCAAAGCCCTATGATATTCTAAGCACAGCTGAAAAGAATATTTCAGGGAGCATAAAGTCTGTGTGATTAAAAAAAAAAAGAAATGAGAAGGCATAATATGTATTTGGATGAAACTAAAATAATACTTTTCTAGTTAGTTGGTAATTTTATGAAAGTAATGATTTATAAAAATAATACTGTACTCTCAATGTGCCAGGGACTTTTTATTTTTACTTTACTTATGGCCAGGGACTTTTAAAACACTCACATGGATTAATTAAATTATTTATCAATTCTAATCTGTGTTTGTATATGTATGTGCATATATATGTATGCATATATATGTATGTTTGCATATATATGTCTGTGTGTGTATATATATATGTACATATATATATATATATGCTATATATATAGTTTGTTTGGTTTTGGACCTTACTCATTGATGCTGGAGGTTACTCTTGGCTCTGAACTCAGGAATCACTCCTGGTTGTGCTTGGAGGACCATAAGGGAAGCCAGGGATTGAACCGGGGCCAGATGTGTGCAAGGCAAGTGCCCTATCCACTATACTATCTCTCTAGCTCCAACTTGTATATCATTACTATGCTCCATCTAAGTGATGAAGAAGTTGAGGCTAACATGATTTGCACTAAGTTATCTGGTTACAAAGTGGCCGCAGAGGTATTCTGGCCAGGTCACTTTTAGCTGCGTATCTATACCACTTTACACATTAACTAGAAGAGCTGCTGTTTACTCACTCACTCTCTCACGTACTCACAAGACCCTTCTCTATGCCTGAGATTCCACAGCAGACTAAATGAGCTGGTTGTAGCCTTGAATATATGAATAATTTTGTAATTATTACCTTCATTTTGCCAAAGAAGAACTTAAGATGAAGCTGAGCCTTTCCCTAGACAACACGAGAACGTACACGAGGTATTGTATTTGATCTAAGTCATTTGACTTACGTCGTGGAGAGGGAAAGCTGCCTTGTAGATCCCAGAGCTTACAAGCTTGCTGATCCCAAATTTCTTAATATTATCTCTTACTTGATACTTGATCCGCGAAAGGATAAAGTAAACCTAAAGCAAGTCCAAAACAGAAATGTGTGATTCATGCAACATAACTGACCATTGTTTTATTTTTGGAACAGGAGTCTATAGGCATTTCTTTCTGTTATTTTCTTTTTTCCAACTGTTACTTTATTTTTACGGCTTTGTCAAATAAAACTGCACCAACCAAACCAACAAGGCAATTATCCAACAGCAGTTCCTAAATCCTCCCCGAAGACAGCAGTGGGGTTTGGCTTTGGAGACTTACAATGCGGCTCCTGGTGGCTGGGTTGAAGAAGGTCTCCTTATCATTAATATAAAAATCATTTATTCGGTTCTTCTCAAAAGGGGCAGTGAAAAACTCTTGCTCAGGCTTGATGAGGCTTTCATCCACTTGGAGGACTTTGGTAAACCAATTAAAATTTCCAAAGGTGGTCCGGGTTTTCAGATCGTTGGGTTTCAGAGGCAATTTGATGTGCATTAACTCTGCATATGTACACAACACTTCGAACGGGGCATGTACTTTTACAAATACGAGTTTGTCATCTAAAACCTATATTGGAATAAAGAAAACACAAACTGTGAAACCAAGAGGGCCGCTTGTATGTTCACAATTTTAGAACATACTGATTTTTCTTATTTTGCTAACAGCTGAAAAACATGTCCATGAACATACAGGACACTTTGGAGAGTGAAGATAACAACAATTAAGAGTTGCAAACCACTGTCAATTTTAGCTTTTTCATGGTTCTTTCATTTCTGGAAGGTTTTGATTTTTTTCTTTTTGGGTCACACCCGACTATGCACAGGGGTTACTCCTGGCTCTGCACTCAGGAATAACTCCTGGCAGTGCTCAGGGGACCATATGGGATGCTGGGACTCAAACTTGGGTCAGCCGCATTCAAGGCAAACACATTACCCACTGAGCTATCGCTCCAGCCCTTTCATAAGATGACTAATATTTTCCAGAAAGAAAAACCAACATTAGGTCCTACAGAGAAAGCTAAGTGGGGGGGAAGGGGGACCACACACCACACAACCTACCCCCTTGTGTGCCAACCTCCTAGCAACACTGGCTGAAGCCCTGCTGTCCTGTGAGCACTAGAGTAACCCCGGGCCCTGCAAGCTCTGCTGGTGCAGACCCTGTGTATTAATTTCTCCTCCCAAATTAATGACTAAAAATAGAAACACTACAATATTTATTGCAATGTTATTGTATCAATTATTAAAATTCTTAAACCTGGGAACTCTGATGGAAGGAAGTTGACACGGGTGGTGGGACTGGCAGTAGATATAGTACGCCTAACACTCACATATGAATAATTTTGCAAATCAAAACTATTCACCTTGATACACTTTTTAAAAAAAGATTATTGAAACTATGAAGAAATTATCGTCAGCAAAAAATCCTACAATAAAAAACAAAATTCTTAAACCTACATGGCCATTTAAAAGGATGTCAATGAATTATATCTTCTGACACAGAAAACACAGTAACAAGTCTCATGATGGAGACGTTTCTGGGCCTGCTTGAACTAATCGATGAACAACAGGAGGACCGTGACCGTGATCGTGATACAGAAAAATGGGGCTGGAGCAACAGTCCAGTGGGGAGGGTATTTGCCTTGCATTTGGCCAACCCAGATGTGATCCCTGACATCCCATATGGTTCCTGAGTACCACCACAAGTAATCCCTGAGTGCAGAGCCAGGAGTAACTCCTGAGCATCACCAGGTATGACCTCCCAGCACCACCCCCCAAAAAAAAAACCAAACAGAAACTTAATATATATTAAGGGGAAAATAAATTTTAAAATATCTGAGCACAATTGTTGCATGTGTGAGGCCATGGTTCTTCCTATCCCTGACAGCCACCAAGACTCGGGGTGAAGAACCAGCCCCACCCCCCGCCATCACCAGCACCGGTGAGCATGGTCTTCTAAGTACCTTCACACAGCACCAAAATAACAAGTTTTTGTTTTGGCTTTTTTTCTGCCACACTTGGTTGTGTTAAGGGCCAGGGATCAAACCGGGGTTAGGCTGCAAGCAAAGCATGTCTTTCTGGCCCTCAACAAATTAAATCACTAAGATAATAACTCCTCTGAAATAGAAAAATGTATACATTTTATGCTAAATAAAAATGTTGTATATTTTTGTATAAAACTTTGTAAACATTTTGTATATATTTCTATATAAACATAGTGCAGAAAAGGTTGTGTTGTGGCTACAAGGTTGTGGATAATTAAAATACAAGTAATTTTAATTTTCACTACTCTTGCCTCATCTAGCTTTTGTCAAACTATCATTTGGACAATAAAATAGTTTCTTCAAAAAGAAAAAATCATGTATTCTTGGATTTTGTTTTTAAAAACTGATCTGTAGGCCTTGATCAGAAACAAAGAGAAATTCCGTAAGTGCAGGTTTTGAGGGACTCCCTTCCTTCCCAGCCTACAACTAAGGTGTGGCTAGTCTGAAATGCCATTCCAGCACTGGGGTGACAAGCAGTGTCAGAGGGGGACAGACTCACCGATCTTGTTGCTTCGAGCTGCAGGCCATCGCAAATGAGGTTGGATTCATAGGCTTGTCTTTTTTTCTAGCAAAGAAAGTGGAAAGTATGTCAGCCTTTAGTATCCCTGAAGGCAGAAAAGGGTTTTTAGAAAAACACATCTGAATCTCATGAAGAGGCACATCTGTTCCACTGAGCTCAGAGCTTGGAAAGACAAAGGAACAGTGGAAGGGGGTGGCCTGAGAGCCTGGGTTAGTTAGGAGGAGAGCAGAGCAGGGTGTCACCTGGCACCATGAGAGGGGATTCCTGAGGTGGGTGCAGGACGGATGTCATTTGGCACTCTGAGAGCTGGGATTCTTTAAGTGGAGTGGGGGATGGGTGTCACTTGGCAAGTGCTTGTCCTTGGATCTTCAGTCATATGCTCTGGCACTGGTTCAATTTGTAGGTTTATTGGCTTATAATAGGTCTTGCCCACAAATAAAATTTATGAGTCCCATATTTTGAGGTCTGAACCTCAGTCTAACATTCTAGATTAAAAACTTTTTTCCATGATATATTCGAAGAGTATAATTTTGGACACGCGTATTTCATCTCTACACACTCTGACCAAATTCAATAGAAAAATTTAATTGTGGCAAAACCCAAAGGAATTTCCTTCTCTGCATGACTGAAAAGTTTAAGAAAAAGGCAAACATCTACATATACGAAACCAAGAACATAATTTAGGGTAGAATGCAAAAGTAGAGATTTGTTTGGCTTTTGTAAGAATTTCTAATTATGTGGTCATATATTTCTGTTAAAAAATGATTTAGAGATAGGAGCTACACAAACAAATTCTAAAATTTATCCAGTACTGAATGCCAATGACAAAAATTTCAGTTAAAAACACTTTTTTTTAAAACTTCAATGGTTAAACAAGAAAGGTTACTGAGCGTAGGTAGTTCAGTGGGCCTGGCAGTGGGTCCCTTTGCCAGACTTTCCTACTGTGAAAAAATGGACAGGGATGAAGCACAATCTTGAGAATACACAAAGCAACTAGCGAATGGAGGCATGAAAAAGCCCAAAGGTCAGAAGGTAAAAAATAAATAAACAAATAATGCTTTTGGCTTTTGATAACCATAAATCCTTCCAGAATTCCTAACTCAATTGATAGACTTATCAGAAAGAAAAAAATACTCATTTTATTTAACAAATACAAATACACGTAGTACTTGACACATGCCAGACACAATCCGAAGGTCTTTATAGCTATAACACATTTAATTGCCTGTCACAAATATGAGCCTATTATAGTAAGGGGCTGGAGCGATGACACAGCGGTTAGGGCGTTTGCCTTGCATGTGGCCGACCAGGGTTCAATTCCTCCGTCCCTCCCTCACGAGAGCCTGGCCTTCTACCCAGAGTATCCCACCTGCATGGCAGAACCTGGCAAGCTCCCAGTGGCCTATTCGATATGCCAAAAAACAGTAACAACAAGTCTCACAATGTTACTGATGTTACTGGTGCCCACTCTAGCAACTAGATGAACAATGGGAGGACAGTGCTGCTATAGTAACAAGAGAAAAATAAACAAATGCTACAACTCTTTAAAAACGAAAAAGCAACATGCCCGGAAAGGCCCAAGTTGGATGAGATCCAGGAAGCCTGCAGGTGTGTCGCCTTCCTTGCACGGGTGACTGCCCCTTCTGTGGCCTTGAGGACTGTTCCCTAACTATCTGGCCAGGGGTGCTGGGTTTTTTCCCCTTTATTCTTCTGCCCGGTCCACCATACTACCACCCAGGATCTGAGAAGCTGACTCAGATTCGTGAATCTTCACATCTTAATTCTTGCATGGTAGCCCAAAGGGTTATACAGGAGTTCTATTTTTAAAAATTCTTTGGGAAATCTTCAAATTGCTTTCTAGAGAGTCTGAACTTTTTATCCCAAGAATACAAAAACATTCATTCAAAAAGATAAATGCAGGGACCCTGGCTTCTTTTCAATCATCATCCCTGCCACCAAAAATGTGTATCATTTAATCTTGATTTTCTTAACCCCATGCAGCCTCTAAAAGAACAAACATGGGGTAACTATCTGGTGAATAAATAAATGAAAGAATAAACAGAATGGTTGAAGTGGAATTAAGTAGATCAATGGCAGACTCTTACATAGATGGATGGAAGAGTCCAAACCACTGGAGAGGAGCAAGTGTGTTCCCTTTTCCTGAACTAGCCCTTAAATAAGGTTCATTAACTTTTGTCTATGGGATATGATAGATAAGAAGTATAATTTAATACTGGAGTCTCCTAGCTTCAGATTGCTCAGAGGCTTCCAGAAGATGAAACGATTTCTAGACATTTTGGAGTCTACATTCCTCAAAGACGAAGTGGGACTGGTTCAGAGAGCCTGGGATGAATCCGCCCTCAGGAACAGTTCTCTCATCAAAGATACCAGACACAAGTCATTCCTCTTTTGCTTGTAGCAGCTGCATCAACCTGACAACAATTTGCTGCTGAGGGCAAGTGAGACAGGGCTGCCACATGATGGGATTTCTACACTGAGGCTACATCTCGTCTCCACTCTTAAGGACTCTCTGATTTTTATCTACCAAACAAACCCCTTAGCACATGAAGAATTTGATTTGCCATGGTCAAGTGGTGAGATGAAAAGTTAAACTTCAAATCCTTACTGTTACTTTTTACCTCTGAAGCATTTAAAACCCTACATGGTCAGTGACTTCAGATAAAAATCTAAGACAAAAAAAAAAAAAAACACAGCAACATCCTGGGGTTTTCTTAAAGATGAAGTGGAATCTTGAATATACAGTCCTTAGCATGATGTTTAATATGTATAAATTCCTATAGACCTGTTAGTAGTCATGACTCTCACTTCAAAATATGCTCAACTTCTCTGATAAACTCTTTCTCCAACAGCCTTAAGGGATGGATATTTGATCATTGTATAATTGAAACCCAAGCACAAAAATTTGTAAGTCTACAACTGTACCTCATGGTGTCTCACTAATAAAAATAAAAAAAATAAAATAAAAAAATAAAGGTTCACCTTCCATTTTTAATGTAAAACATCTGAATAAAAACAGGCAACCCCAATCTTTCTGCATTCAATGATCTCTTATTACCTTCAATAAGCATCAGTATTGGTATCAATTAGCACAGCGATAGGGCATTTGTCTTGCACACGGCTGACCAGGGTTCAATTCCTTCGTCCCTCTTGAGAGTCTGGCAAGCTACCGAGAGTATCCCACCTGCATGGCAGAACCTGGCAAGCTCCCCGTGGCGTATTCAGTATGCCAAAATTCTGACAAAAGCCAAACAAATCTCTACTTTTACATTCTTCCCTAAATTATGTTCTTAGTTTTGCATGTAGCCAACCCGACCGACTGGGGTAGAACTCCTCTGCCCCTCTCGGAGAGCCTGGCAAGCTACAGAGTATCTCGCCTGCATGGCAAAGCCTGGCAAGCTATCCGTGACGTATTCAATATGCCAAACACAGTAACAACAAGTTCCACAATGGAGACGTTACTGGGCCCGCTCGAGCAAATCGATGAACAACTGGAGGACAGTGACAGTGACCCAGAAATACTGGGAGTTACTCCTGGCTCTGGGCAGAGCAATCACACTGGCAGGCTCAGGGGACCAAATGGGATGCTGGAGTGAATGAAGAGAGGATTGGAATAAATTACAACTAAAACCAACCAGCCTGGCTCTCCTCTCTTCCTTTGTCTGCCCTTGGCCAACAGCCGTCCCAATGCAGGCCACACACAGCGGCTCAAGAGCACCGAATGCGGGTGGTGAGAAAGAGCCATCCAGAGAGCCTGCAAACACACAACCTTCCGCGTGTTTAGTTTTTTACTATTGGTAGAGAATAGTACCAGTAGGTTCCAAGTGAAAAGGGATAAGAGCACTCCTCTCATCCCAAAAATGGGAATTTTATTCATACCTCTCCTGAGAGGTCAATAAAGCTATCAGAGAAATAAAGAATAAAGCAATCAAAATCACAAAGGACAGATGGGCATAATTAAGGAAATTTACTGGCTCTAAGCACCTGAGATTACTCACCTCATTTGGGTTAATAAATTCATTATTGGGAAGGAGAGCTTGTGAACTACACAGTAATAATACTGATTGTAAATATCCATCTGCAATTTTTATGTAACCCTTCTTTTTCAGCATAAAAAAGCAGGGATTGTAATGTCTGAGAAGTAAAATTACCAAATACAGTGTGATGATATTGAGGTATAAATCAGGTGGGATTAATAAAATGTATGCATAGACTAATTTCAAATATTTCTACAGGCAAAGTATCCATGATGCTGTTACCTTATCATTCAATTTGCCTATCTTTGTTAAGCCTAGAAAAATGGGTGAGGAGTTTAAGATAGATAATTTGTAAGGGAAGATATTTTTTACTTACTGCTATTAATTAGTTATGTAGCCTGGCAAGCTACCCGTGATGTATTCGATATGCCAAACACAGTAACAACAAGTCTCATGATGGAGACGTTACTGGGCCCGCTCGAGCAAATCGATGAACAACGGGAGGACCGTGACCCGTGAGGATAGCTAGAGTAAAAATCAGATAATGGGCCAAAGAGACAGCTCAGTATCCCATGGTCAAGAAGGCTGTTAAGCTGAATAAAGTAAAGTAAAGGCCCTCCCGTTGATCATCGATTTGCTCGAGCGGGCCCAGTAACGTCTCCATTGGAGACTTTGTTGTTACTGTGTTTGGCATATCGAATACGTCACGGGGAGCTTGTCAGGCTCTGCCGTGCGGGCGAGATACTCTCGGTAGCTTGCCGGGCTCTCCGAGAGGGGCGGAGGCATCGAACTCGGGTCGGCCGTGTTGGCTGCGTGCAAGGCAAATGCCCTACCGCTGTGCTATCGCTTAAGCTGAATAAATTATTTAATTAGGACAATTTGAATTTACATGTTCATAATAAAACATTTAATATCAGTGGACAGATATGACAAAATTTGCTCAAGTAAGCAATGTGTTCACTAGGGGACAGAAAAACAGTGAACATTCTAAATGATATGTGTAGAAATTAGTAACTTTAGCTAAAGATCACCTCCAAATTTTCTTTTACA